GGACAGGGTGAATCCGAGAAACAACAAATTGAATTGGTGTGGCCTAAAGGAAAAACAGCACGGTCCATGAAATGAAAACTACAGAATAGTGTTATAATGCATACAAATATCGGCTTCCACTTTACCCCCTTTACTCGGTGATTGTTATTGTTGTGTATAAATAAGGCCATGTTGATTTGATTATATGGATGACATCCTCTGGGAACCCCAAAACTGATGCGCGCGTGCGAAATAAAAAAAAGTTTTGCAAAAAAAAAAGTTGCTTTCACTATGAAATCTACGTGGTCATGAAGGTTGAACAAATGGCACAGAATATGTTATGGCGAATAATCTACTCTTCGAATTCATTTCTTTACATTTTTGTCTTTTTTCCTTTGATTTTGGCATTCTACGACATTGGTATCGTTTCTAAATGTTTTCCTTGCAACTTATGGTATATTTTTGCTCATTTAGCAACTGTTTTGCACGATTTACAGTATGGTTGAAAACTTTTTTTTTTTTTTGGAAACGGCCGAAAATTCATGCGCGCGTGGACGTCATCCATATAATCAAATCAACATGGCCTAATTTCGAATTCCGAAAAAAATCCAAAATTCTTCCCCCACCTGTTCCGGACGTTGACCTCTGACCCCGCACCTGCGGAAGCACCACCCACAATGCACTCCGCGGGACGTTACCATGACAACCCGACGCGAGAATGCGGAAGTCACATCCTGCAACAGGTTGCATGCAACAACAAGTGTGTTTTGACTTGTTTTCAGTCGATTCGCGAAACATAGCGTCGTCCAAAGGCTGGGATATTTCTTCTGAATCGACATGGGTACACTGTGAGGCAGAGAATGATCATGAAGACAATTTCAAATAGCTAAAAAGCTGCGTTGAACAATCCAAGGAGAACCTCTTTTTAAATTTTGGCAAACTATGGATCGAAAACCTGGACACTTACCCAGGTCTCCAAAAGACGTGCTGGACTCTCTTATCTGGGTGAAGGTAGGAAACTCTTTCAATACTTTTAGTATTCTCTACATCGATTTAAACAGAGCATGGGACCTCACCAATTTGATTTGTTTTCCATTGCTTTCTGATTTAAAAAAAAAGATTTTGAATCAACTCAAAAATGCTCATATTTTGAAAAAAATCATTTTCTTCCTAGTTGCTACAGTTTTCCATCTATCAATGCAGTGGTATGTTTAAAGGTTCAAAATTCATTGTTTAAATATTAACCCAGCCTTTTGTGTTGACTTCATGGCTCATAGGATTTGGGGCTATAATAGGTAATGCCTAGACCTGTTTTTATTTTGCCCTGTCGCTTCATATTTTTTCTGTCTGGAAACCAACAGATTAAATTGGTGTGGCCTGAGTAAGATTATGCTTCTTGGAGTCACGTTGTCTCGTACGTGGTTTTGATTTTGACTACAATTGTTCCCCAATGTATGAACAATAAACAAATAAAAAACAAATTAACAATCAGTATATGTTCAACAAACAAGTAACAATCAGTATGTGTTCAACAAACAAGTAACAATCAGTATGTGTTCAACAAACAAATTAACAATCAGTATGTGTTCAACAAACAAGTAACAATCAGTATGTGTTCAACAAACAAATTAACAATCAGTATATGTTCAACAAACAAGTAACAATCAGTATGTGTTCAACAAACAAGTAACAATCAGTATGTGTTCAACAAACAAATTAACAATCAGTATATGTTCAACAAACAAGTAACAACCAGTATGTGTTCAACAAACAAGTAACAATCAGTATGTGTTCAACAAACAAATTAACAATCAGTGTAGGTTCTTATGCATGTATAGTACTGTCATGTGTAATACTGTCATTTATTTATTTTGTTTGTGACTATAACAGGTTGTAGGTCTGGGCAATGCAGGAGTGGGGAAGACTTCACTTATCAAACATTTCTGTGAAAGTCAGGTGAGTCATGTAGTGAACAAGGACGTGTCAGCTAGTCTTCTGCATGACATACTTAAATTATAGGAGAATGTTGCCTGTCCAATTCATGTAACGTTACATCAGTAGTAACAAATTAAACTTCTGAATTGATACTTATTGCTGGCATTAATAGTCTATCATTCCAACAAATGAAATGATATTTGATTGTTATGAAATTACATACAGTGGTTGTCCTTTCCAGTTCTCTCCAGTTTACCAGCCGACTATTGGAGTAGACTATGGCTTCAAGATAGAGAAGATTCTAGGAGAGGACTGTGAGTACTATGAAATATGATAATTCTGTAGACTGTGAGTTCATGTAGTATTCAGTAGCCTGGGTCCCAGTCTCTGTAGCTTACCACTAGTTCTCCCTTTTAGCTTCAGGTACCACAGAGTAAGTGAAAACAAAAGACAGCAGTAGCCATAGAGGATAGCAAACTGGCTTAGTAGTTTATTGGTGACCCAGTGCCTTTCTTGTAAGGATTTATCATATCTATGATGATGTTCACCTCCGCAGAAGGAAAACATATAAATGTTCTTGCTGTTTCTTCTTCCTCTTGACCTGAACCAGACATCTGTCACCATGGTAACTAGTGTTGGGTTATATCATGTTGCAATTTTATAGCAGGAGGGATTTAGACTCCTGTCAGACCGTATATATGTGAACGTGTTTGCATAAGAATTAACAGAGACCATAAATGAAGGAAAACATTATGCATTTGCTTTGCGAATGTTACCTTTCTAGTTTGCTTATTGCAAAATTATTACTTGTTATGTGCAAATAAACAGTAAATAAAAACTTGTGTTGACAGTGCGTATCCACCTATGGGACCTGTCGGGTAACTCGGACTACCTGGAGGTGCGGAACGAGCTGTACGGGAACACGCAGGCGTGCTTCCTCGTGTACGACATCACCAGTCAGTCCTCCTTCGACACACTGGATACGTGGCTGAGAGAGCTCGGCAAGTACGGAGGGCTCAACTCGGAAGTTGTCGTCGTTGCCAACAAGGTATGCTTTAGTTATAGAGTTCATTAGCTTCGTTCCAACACAAGAAAGGAGGCCACCATAAATTTTTGGTCGATCTCGTCCACCTTCGTCAGTGTGATGCAACAGTTGACGAGATTGACCGAAAAGTTATGGCCTTTCTTATGTTGGTATATATGAAGCTTGAACTCTAGTGATTCTACTAATATAGATGAGTTTCATTTGAACATGGTATGCTGTACAGTTTTATCGGCTTTCCTGTAACAAAATCTAGGGATAAACATTATCATCCTATTCATTTCATCCAGTATTCCAAACAAGATAGAACTTGGACACATACCCATGCATCCTTTCTTTCCCCTTTTTCCTTATCCAATTTTAACAATTTTCCCCCAAAACTGGGGGTTAGACATTGCTTGCATCGAGTGCAAGAACGAGAAGAAACAAAATACATTGTAATATAATATAAACCGATAGATAAAAATTTCTACATGCTGATTCGTTACAGAGTGTTTTATTGTAGCATCTCTTTACCCAGACAATGTTACGTAGTTTTTCCTTTCGAGCTAAACTCTCACTGATCCTATTGTGGCCAATTTTGACAACTGACTTTGTATTTCTGACTCGCAGACTGACTTGAAGGCAAAACGTGTGATTTCCATGGCTGATGGGAGAAAGTGGGCAAGTGCACACAAACTCAAGTGAGTACCTGACTAGATAATTATTTTCCATTCGAACAGACTCTTAACTAACCAATACCCCCCATTAAACTAAACCGTCACCATGCTTTATACAATATCATTGTCATAGATCTGTAGATTTGATTATATTCAAAGAAGATTTTCTATGTTCACATGTTCAGCTATACAAAAATTAAGTACACATGTATAAGTTAGGCCAACTATTATTTTTTCTGCAGTAAGGAATTTTTTTATTTACCCAGTGACACGTACACTAGTTTGAGGGTCTTCAGAGGATGTCATCCATAAATTAAGTCAGTGTGGCCTAACATAAAATTGTTTCTGTACATATAGGTATCACGAGACCTCAGCTGGTGATGGTGTTCAGCAGATGCTCCAATTGTTAACAGTTTGTTTCTGTACAGGTATTATGAGACCTCAGCTGTAACAGGTGAAAAGTGTTGATTGTTTGTGTCTGTACATGTACAGGTATTATGAGACATCAGCTGTAACAGGTGACAGTAATCGGCAGATGCTCCAATTGTTGACAGTTTGTTTCTGCACCTGTAACAGGTATTACTAGACCTCAGCTGTAACAGGTGAAAATTGTTGACAGTTTGTTTCTGTACCTGTACAGGTATTGCGAGACCTCAGCTGTGACAGGTGAAAATTGTTGACTGTTTGTTTCTGCACCTGTACAGGTATTACGAGACCTCAGCTGTAACAGGTGAAAAGTGTTGACAGTTTGTTTCTGTACCTGTACAGGTATTATGAGACCTCAGCTGTAACAGGTGAAAATTGTTGACTGTTTGTTTCTGTACCTGTACAGGTATTACGAGACCTCAGCTGTAACAGGTGATGGTGTTCAGCAGATGTTTCAGGACCTACTGATGGCTGTGAGAGAACGGGAGGCTCAGAAGGACAAGAGACCCAAGAGTAGACAGGCTACAGACAAACAGACAACTGTCAAGAGTTAGCATAACTTTAACGAGAAGACACAGTGCCAAGTCTCTCTTGTTACTTTACACAAATAGTGAAGAGACTTTGCTGCTAAAATAGTACAGAATTTCTGTTCTCAATAGTTTTTAAGTATGTAGTAATAGATGTAATAATGACGATGATGTAATAATAGAATGGTAGCATTATGTATGGACAGAGGAAGTTAGGATTCTACTGGTAGATGTGTGCTATCTCTGCTTTCAATGAGCAACTAATTAAGTATGTACTTAAAAAATCCATTGGCCAGTGAGAACGCAACATATTACCGGTATATATTATATTTATCAAAGGTGAGGGAGTAGATTCAAATATTAATGTAGTGCTATGGATAGTACAGTCAATACCAAGGACAGTGCGGTTAGGGCTGTAGATAGTACAGTCAGCACCAAGTATATAGTGTTATGTTAGTGTTATGGATATTTCACCACTGAACTACAAAATTGAATGGCAAAAGGGGGCTTCTTTGGTGCTTATCCTTTTGTGGTATGAGAATCAATGTTATTTAACTGAATATTGCAGAGTTTAGCAAATCTTTCTTTCAACACAACAAGAATCAAGCTGACAGAATCCAGAATTATTAATGTGTTTTGTTAGATCTGCCGGGCGTATATTTGAATGAGTTTGATGCCATGTTGTGTCAATAAAACAATTAAAAATTCTTACTGGACAATTTTCTTCTTAATCATTAATATACTTTAAGTTCTTCAAAGTTACTACTGTATTGTCAAGTCTATAAAGATATCAAAACAATTCATTCATAGTTCAAAGGTATTACTGAAAAGTGTACCTATTAGTCAGTTTATTTATTATTAAGTAATCATTAAGATAAATCATTGACATGTATCATGAGTGCACATTAGCATATTAGATTCATTATTATTCAATTAAAAAAAAGTAATAACACCTTAATTTCGGATGGCAATCCTAGCAAATACACAGTGTCATTACCAAATTCTAAAAGAAAACACCATATGTGCTGTTGACTTCAATGGTATCAAATACACTTTACTCAGAATTTAGACTTACATCAAAACTTTAGACTCAGAGATATAACTCTAAGTTACAGTAAAACACATCCTATGACGTTGAATAAATGATCACAAACCAAAAACTCCGGGAAGTGCTGCAAAAATGACAACATCATCATGTTTACAAACTTGGAGGTCTCAAAATGTTCTAAAGGCCGTTGACCCATGACTTATAACCTTCCTTGTGTCAAAGGTCGCAGATTGCGCGCCAACTAGAAACACTCCAAGAAACACCGAGGAAGAGGTTCCGTGTCCAAAGTGGACAACTGTAAGGTACTTGTTGGCTTGATATTAGCATAAATGTACCATAACATGCCTTATGTCATATATAAATCGCTCAAAAGATATCCAGGTTCATTTTGTAGCCACACAGACCTGATTATCCAATCTATAGCTAGTGGCCTGTATTTTTAGTCCAAGCAGATGTTTAGTGAAACCAAAACCTTTGACTGAACCGCTGTTTGGACTGAGTATTAAAAAGTACGTTAACCATAATTCATTTTGTTTACGGAAGGAAAAAAAAATCTTGTTTTTGGTCTGTTTCCACCTCTTCTTCTTCTTGTGCAAACTAATAAGGTCAATGACCTGAAGCAGACGTCTGTCACCATGGTAACTAGTGTTGGGTTACATCATGTTGCAATTTCATAGCAGGAGGGATTTAGAGTCCTGTCTGACCATATATGCGAATGTGTTTGAGTAAGAATTAATTTGAGACATCCCAATGCAGGATTAGGATTTTCAATTACAAAATGAGTTCAATGAACTCTTTTAAACTGACTTTAAAGTTTGTATAGAAACCATGAATGCAGCCCAAATTATTAAAGGCTTGATATTCGAGATTTTGAGGGAATAAATATTATCTTAAGGAGCATTATGTACCATTTTTTGAAATTTGAAATATATCATTCGAAAAATATTCGAGTGATTGTACTTCAACTTTTCAACATATTTCTGAAATTATTCCACATTTCTGACAATCATGGTTTAAAAAAGGCGATAAATAAGCCCACATGAGGTGTAATCATCATATGCGTAATTTTTGGTGCCACCATAAACTACCAGAATGTAAACAAACATGGCCGGCGACTGTGTTTCAAGCTTTTAAATACTGTACTGTAAATACTGTAAATAAGGCGTCATATTTTGGCACCTACACTCTCTGAGTAGCACTTATTTGCAATGGAGTGGGGTTGATTCAACTGTAAAGAAATGACCAGAAATTTACTTTTTGTATCATCCTAATGTTATATAATGCAGCTTTAAACCATGCCGTCCAACATTGAGATCAAGGCACGAGTACATGATGTCACAAAACTACACAAACTGGCAGCAGAGCTGAGCCAATCAGAGGGCACCAAAGTGGAGCAAGAAGACACCTTCTTTTGTGTTCCCAGGGGCAGGCTCAAGTTAAGGCATCTTAAGGTAAAGTCAAGTAACTTTCTCTTTTCTGACATGTTAGGAACATCTTGAAACAAAAAGGTTCAGAGATTGATTACATTTCACCATTGATGTTTCATTTTAATATGGGATCTACATGTATATCAAGACTATTGTATGTGAAGCACTCATAAATTTGGTATAAAACTGTACTAAGTTATTATAGCTCTGTTTCTTCTTCCTCCTCCTCTCCAAACAAATAAGGTCAATGACCTGAACCAGACGTCTGTCAGACTCTGTCTCCATGGTAACTGGTGTTGGGTTACATCATGTTGCAATTTTATAGCAGGAGGGATTTAGACTCCTGTCACTATATATATGAATGTGTTTGAGTAACAGAGCAGACCATATGCAAAGGTAAACATTGATATGCATTATCTTTGCAAATGTTACTTTTCTGGTTATTATATAATTTTGATGTCCCATAAAACGAAGAGTAGCTTTCAAATACTTATATACATTGTGAAAATCATTTGCTCTCAGAACGATAATATTATAGAACTGTTACACTGATTCATATTATTTCAAGTTATAACAAAAATTCTGATATTTCAGGATCGTCCCTCCGAGTTGATCTCCTATGACAGACCAGACCAGCAGGGACCTAAAGAGTCTGTGTTCTTCATTTCAAAGGTTCACAACCCACAAGACATCAAGGTTTGTGAGCAATACTAGCCTGTGTCTACTCCAGTTTGCTCTAGTGATCACTTACCAGTCTGACACCAATTGACAGAGAGAAGATTGTCATTGGAATTATAAGGCCACACCAATTAAAATTTTTGGTTAACGGATTTTTCTAGAAAAATAATGGAGCGGGCGGGCAAAAAAAATAAAAATAAAAACAGGCCTAGGCGTCGTATTATGGCCCAAATGGTACGATAGGAGCCATGAAGCCAACACACCAGGCTGGTTCAAAATTTAAACAATGAATTTTGAACTTTTAATGATGCCACTGTATTGAAAGATGGAATAACTGTAACAACTAGGATGAAAAGGTCTGTTTTCAACTGTTCAGGGCAAAAAATGAGCATTTTGCAGTTGATTCTGGATTTTTATTTTTATTTGCAAATCAGAAAAAATGAAGCGGCAAATCCGTTAACCAAGAAATTAAATTGGTGTGGCCTAATGTAAGTTAACATGTACAGGAAAGCTCTGATCAGATCAAGTTCCTTGTTCCTCTGTAATGGCAATATAACAGAGTTCAAACTGGCATTTCAATGTTTTACAGTTAAAAAAGTTAAACAGCCTTCCTGCATCAAGTGACGCATAGGGCTGTGCCCATCTCCATTCATTAGCCCAGTGGGCCACACACAGCAGTCACTACAGCAAGGGGCTAGTCTACTGGTAGTGGTGTGTGTTTAACTACTAGTACCATACTCTTTCCCAAATGCTGAGTGCTAAGCAAAAAAAGCAGTATGTACCATTTTTAAAGTCTTTGTTATGACTCGGCCGGGGATTGAACTCACGACCTACCGAATGCAAGGCAAGCACTCTACCCCACTTGGCCATTGCACCGTTTTTTTTTACACAGGTTCTGATATATACTCCATACCTGAGCTGTATTATGATGTGGATGCCATTGTGTATTCTGCCTTGATCATCAAAGCAGGAGCTAGAATTTGACCAGAATTTGACTAAAAAATCACACCCCTGACATTAAGCAGTTGTATAGGCTAGGACGGGTACCAGGCTATCTGCTAAGTTGCTGATTTGCTTGATGTTCGTTTCTGAATGTCTGTGTAATGTCAATAGAAATTGTTAGAACATGCAGTTACATCAACTAAAATTAAGGTTTATCTTGTTCCAGGCCACTCTTGCCCATGCACTGGGTATACGAGGGGTAGTGAAGAAGCTGCGGACCCTATATCTAGTTGGACAAACCCGAATACATGTGGACAATGTGGAGAAACTGGGACATTACATGGAGTTAGAGGTAGAGTGGCTAGATTTCTTTTTATGTTTACCGAAGAAAAACATATTGTTTTTGGTCTGTTTCCTCTTCTTCTTCTCGAAACCAATAAGGTCAATGACCTGAACCAGATGTCTGTCACCATGGTAACTAGTGTTGGGTTACATCATGTTGCTATTTCATAGCAGGAGGGATTTACACTCCTGTCACCGTATATATGAATGTGTTTGAGTAAGAATCAACAGAACAGACAATATGCTTAGGTAGACATTATGCATTTGCTTTGCAAATGTTGCCTTTCTAGTATATATATCTTGTTTCATGATATTGTTAAAGTAACAGAACAGATACTTGACAATGTGTATTTATCACTGTTTTGTGATTGGTTGGTCATTTGAATTTGAACTGAACCCTGCCCTTTCATTGGCTAGGTGATGATGCAGCCTGGCCAATCAGCAGAGGAGGGAGAACAGATAGCCAATGACCTGATGGAGAAATTGGGCATCAAATCATGTGACCTTATTGATACTGCTTATATAGATATGCTACAAGACAAGTAGAGCCAAGCAATTAGTACACTTCTCAAATACTTATGGCAAAAAAACAATATTTACTTCAACATAAATGTGTAAGATGTAGACAAAGGCTAGGTTAAAAGTATTGTTATAAGATTATGTTGATTAAACAATTAACAAGTGTAACAAGTGGTTTTACCATAGATTCAATACTGATACATGTTACCATGTTTCAAGCTAGTTTTCCGTGACTGGATTCTTGTCCCACTGTGTACAATTTTAAGAGTCAGTTTTTGCAATCCAGATACAAGTCTTCAGCAAATAAATGCATAATTTATCTCTCAGGCAGAACGAATAAGAATGTAAGCCATATTTCTTGCAATAAAATTTTACCTTCGTCTAATTGTCAGCTTTTCTAGTTAACGGATCCGTAACATGTACTTGCACTTTTCTTGATGTTGCACGTAGTATACCCGAGGCTCTGGTGGTATAACCTGGTATCCTGTCTAATCGTGGTTGTGGCATACCAAGGACTTGGGGCAGGCTGTCTTCGGGGCTCTAATAGTTTTCCCCCCGCCCAGTACAACAGACCGTCCCGGTAGGAGTGTTAAGTTACGCTTATAGAGTTAGGCACGCCAGGAGTTGATTTTCCCCACCACGAATATCGTGGTGGGCCTAATCATGTAATCAAACTGCCGCCGTGAAAAATCTACCGGGGGAACCTAGCTCAGGCGGGCGGGGAAGAGCTTCAGCAGCACCGAAGAAAACCCGCCCCAACCACGTTAGGCTGGACACGATTACTGCTGGTGATAGTGCAATCGCTATAGGAAAAAAATGATGATGTGTATAATCAGGGACATGATTATGACCTACAAATACATTCATGGGAAGCTGGACACAGAGGGTTGCCTACCAAAGATGCAAGAAAAAACAAGAACAAGAGGGAACAGCTTACGCCTAAACAAAAGATCAGTGAACAACAAAAAAAGACTGTTTTTCTACAGCAACAGGGTAGTAACATGGTAGAACAGTCTACCTGAGGAGGTGGTGTCAGCCCCAAGTGTGAACAGTTTTAAAAATAGACTGGACAAACACATGAGAAGTCATCCAGTGGTGTACAACCCCCGGGCATTGGACAACCCCCACAAGATGACCATGTCAACGAAGTAAACTACAAGGAGCGGCTCAAGGTGGAAGAGAACTTCCTACCGAGACGAAAGATCTACTCTACTCTACTCTACTCAGACTAATGCTCTAGAACACGCGAATTTTGTATAAAAGCGCTGAGAGCATGACAACATACATGTACAGGACCTATCCTTGGTGCTGACCGCCATCCATATGAACAACTACGTACGTTTCCATGTACAGACACCGTAAGTTTGTTTGTAGTACATGTACATGTACGTGCGTAGCAAACAATACTTAGTCCTGGAAGGAACGTCACAATTGCACGTTTGTCTGATCACAAAGTCATTGTGATATCACATTAATACGCTACTGTTTCACAGGCCTGATTAGAAAATACCATATTTCTAACGTCATCATCATGCGTCATAGAACAAGAAGTACATTTAGAAGGTAACCGTTGTGACGTCTTCGCTGATTCGAATGTTCGCGTTGCTAGGTAACCAGAGCAGATCGTTCCATCGTGACCTTGAAACCGCACGGACTTTGTCAAAGCTGTCAGGGATTGAGAGAGACAAGTTTTTTTAAGGATGGGTGACGCGGAGAAAGGGAAGAAGACATTTGTGCAGAAGTGTGCGCAGTGTCACACGGTGGAGGCCGGCGGGAAACACAAAGTCGGGCCGAACTTATCCGGAGTGTTCGGGCGGAGGACTGGTCAAGGAGTGGGGTTCGCTTACACCGACGCCAACAAGAACAAAGGTAACGTGCATAAATTGTTTCGTTTTCTTGTACGTGGATGGCGATCAGCACCAAGGACAGGTCTATTCGCCTATAATTTAACGTTAACACTGTACGCATATGTTTGATTCCAAAATCATATCCAGTTGCTTGAGTAACTGCTGTGTTGGACAAAGGTAACTTGCTTCCGAAAATAGTTTCATCAGGTTGGTAAAGTATAGGATATACAGACGTTTTCTTTTACACGACCAAAAGCGCCACCTACATCAGCTACATATAGCGGCGAGAAGCAGAACTCCAGTCAGAAGCTCTGAGGCAGGTGTCTGATAGACACCGAAACGTAAGCAAGGTAAACTATCATGGTTGTGTAAAAGAAAACGTCTGTATCCTTAAAGGTAAACTTGGGTAACGTAGGCAAAAATGTTGAACTGATACGTCAAAGAGTAACTTCTTAGAGCAGCACGTGATTCAATGAAAAAGGGATCAAAATACGAACATGTTTACGGTATATGTGGATAAAAACGTACATAAGATTGTTTCGTTTTCTTGTACGTGGATGGCAATCAGCACCAAGGACAGGTGTATTCGCCTATGATTTAACACTGTACGCATATGTTTGAGTGTGAGGAGGGAAAATATGAACTAACATTATGTCTCTGTGCGTGGATGGAAAAGCACATAACACATGTTTTCGTTCCTTGTAAAATGATGTGGATGGCGGTCAGTACCAAGGACAAGCGCATTCGCCCCATATATGCGTTTAAGTAGGGGTATATAATGAAACTACAAGTACGCTTATGGTGTCTGGACATGAAAACGTGTACTACGTAGTTGTTCAACCTTGTTAAAAAAATCATATGGATAGCGGTCAGCACCAAGGACAGGTCCTGTACAGTGCTTATGCATTTGTTTGTATAGAAGCGGTAAAAAAAACTACAAACTAACTTACGGTGTCTGTACATGGAAACGTACGTAGTTGTTCACGCTTGAAAAAAATTATATGGATGGCGGACAGCACCAAGGACATGTCCTGTACATGTATGTGTTTGAATAGAAGCAGTTAAAAATTACAAAACACTTAACCACGGTGTCTGTACATGGAAACGTACATAGACTGTTTGTTGCTTGTACTAGAAAAATGTGGATGGCGGTCAGCACCAAGGACAGGCCGATTCTTGAAAATCACTACAATTCCAAACTTCGTGTATGTGATACACTACCTGGGCCCTATTTAAGTTGTTCCTCTGGTTTTTGCAGGTATAACATGGAATGAGGAGACCCTGGATATCTACCTCACCAACCCTAAGAAGTACATCCCGGGGACTAAGATGGTGTTTGCCGGCATCAAGAAAGCCAAGGAACGCAAGGACCTCATCGCTTACATCAAGCAAGCCTGCTCCTAAATGGCTCCATCCCTGTGCAGTTGCCAAGAAATGCAGAAGCAGTGTAATGGCAGAGACATGTGCTTACCTTGAATTTCCTCATTTGCCCATCATCAAGATCATTGGAAATAACATGTCTTAATTCACTTTTAAGATTTAATGTCTTAAAGATTTCTTAATCTCTTAACATGAGATGTTGAACTCACAGGATTCTGTAATCCAAATAAATTGTCATTGAATAAAATGCTGACAACATGGCACTGTCTGGTGTTTCTGTTAGGGTGGGTGAGGATAGCATGAGAAAGAACCAATCAAAAGTGCCCATACTTACCTTTGTCAGGCAAGTAGTGATGTATGAACAAAGCATTTCTCTGATTGGCTGGTAAATTCCTTTATTTCATAACTTCATAGATCTTCTAGATTAAGCACTGAATTCCTGAGTGAAGTTTACAACTAATAGTATGTTTGCTGTAAACTACATCTACATGTAAACATATCAGTTTCAAAGGCACTGCAAGTAATATCATACAAAGCTTGTCCAAAAATATACAGTTCTGTATGTTCTACATGATAGGAAAATACTAATTCTATTTTCAATACATATCAAACTATTCCATAGCACCAATGATAGAATATATGTTTGATTCAAAAGTATCTGATCAAATTAAGATTATATACAACTAGCCAATTGAAGTGTTCTGTAGACTTTGGAAAAATCCATTCTTGGCAATTTCTGTTACCACATCACTAGATAGCTCAAATGTATCAAAGACAAACATACACTTCGTATTTATTGAAAGAGAAAACATCACTCATAAAACTCTTCCTACATTTATGCTGCAAACAGTACATGATATGTTTTCTTTTAGAACAAACGTTACAACTTCTATGGCAATATTAGGCCCCACCAATTTAACTTGTTGGTTCTCTGATTTTTTCAGATGAAGAAATATATATGAAGCAACAGGGCAAAAAAAAAACAACAGATCTAGGCATCCTATAATAGCCCCAAATGCTATGATAGGAGCCATGAAGTCAACAAAAAAGGCTGGGTTAATATTCAAACTATGAATTTTGAACTTAGCAAGGTTGAAGGAGTCAATCGAAAATTTGGGATAAGTCCCATTTCTGTAATCTAAGTGTTGGAAGTTAAAGCTTACTCTTTATTTCATAATGAATTTTGAACTTTCAATCAAACCACTGCATTGATAGATGGAAAAACTGCAACTAGGAAGAAAATGACTTTCCTCAACTGTATTCAACTCAAAAATATGAGCATTTTTGAGTTGATTCAGAACCATAATCTTTTTTTTTTTCAAATCAGAAAAAAATTGACATGGCGAATCCGAAACAACAAATTAAATTGGTGTGGCCTTAGCTTCAGTTAAATCTCTTTATGGCAGTTTAAAAGTTACAGCTCCCTTTAGACTTGCCTGCACCTTTGCAATGTTAGCATCCAACTCTGCAAGTTCCTGTTGGAAAACTCTCTCATCCTGTGACGTTACTGTAGTTTCAGATGCTATTGACTGAGCCTCTATGTCATTGACTGTGCTCAGAGAACTGTCTAGTACAGTACCTCTAAAAAGATGGTCTTGTTTCGAGTTTGGTCTAATGTCTTCAGCACCCGACTGAAAAGAGCGAGCATTTGTAGAACGATCTGTAACGTTTTCTTTGTACGGTTGAGATGACTGGTACCACTGCATTTTCCTTCCTCCGTTTTCTTGCGGTCTTTGCGTCGCTGGTTTTCTCTCTGTGTACGCTCTTGTTGGAGTTGGCTTCCACTGCGTTCTCCCAACGTTGGAGGGTAGAGAAGCGTACATGGTGGAGTCATGGTCAAAGTCTGACAGTGGATAACCGTTGAATGAGTGAGAGAGAGCATCCTTTCTTCCTACACCTTGCTTTTGTGGAGAGGGGGGCGCTGGAACAGCATAGTGCTGTCCTGATCTCTCATGTGCAGATATAGCCTCCCTGGTCAAACTTTGCTGTGTCTGATCATACCCTGCTGGTACAGTGCTGCTGTTACCGACAGCAAACTTTGAAGCACTTTTCTCTTCAATACTCCTCTGGTGGTCAGCTAAGTGCTGCTCAGTCAGAGAACTTCCGGTAATGTTTTCTTTCTTCTTTCCGTTCACGTCATCAAATTGTAGAGCCCTCTTCACAGATGCTGGAGTCTTTGGTTGCTCTGCTGTTGGAACAGCTGTAGGGCGTGGCTCCCACTGTTGCCGTGGAGACTGGTTTCCATGGTAACTAGGGTGGTGTGATGGTTGACTGTAGTGTTGCTGGGACAGCTGGCCACCAGGAGGGCGTGGCTCTTGTTGGCGTGGCAACTGGCTGCCCTGGTGTTGATTGGTCGGAAGGGTCTGTGGTTGACCAATCAAGTCCTTTTCTGCTGTCCTGCGTGTTGGGCTGCCGTAGAAGTTGGGCTGGCCTCCTTCAGGACTGGCCAGCTGGATAACACTGTTGGGAGAGACAAAAACAGAACATTTCAGGTCAGTTTATTTCATGCAGGCTGTTCCGAACAAGTTTTCAAGACTCATCTTCCATACATGAGAGAAATGAAACTCAGATACAATGTATTTGCCTTTTGGCAACTGAAAATAATGCCCAACTTTTAATGAACACCTCGTGAGAATGCAGTGATCATGAGAGGTACATGTACAACTGCCCTGGGGAAGATAGCAGAAGCTCAAAAATTGTCAGGTCTTCTTCTTTTTTTCTTTTTTCATTTTGAGGCAGCCGCCTTCAACTACATGTAACTCAAGATTCTGCTGCCTTTTTGTCTCCAATAAGAGATGGGGTTCGCCAGGCCTCCATCCAGGAAAGTCATGTGAAGTGCCTTTCCCAAGGGCACAAGATCGGTGACATGGCAGGGTTCGAACCCGGGACCTCTTGGTTCCAAGCCTATATGGCTATAACTAGGGGTTTGTTATGCCACACGACCCCCTAGGTCAATCCCTTTGTACTACAAGGACAAGTATAATCCATGTATTTGAGGATATGTGAAGGGTTTCTGGTGCTACCTGTCCACACTGGGTGTTTGAGGATATTTGAAGGATTTCTGGTGCTACCTGTCCACACTGTGTGTTTGAGGATATGAGAAGGGTTTCTGGTGCTACCTGTCCACACTGTGTGTTTGAGGATATGTGAAGGGTTTCTGGTGCTACCTGTCCACACTGTGTGTTTGAGGATATGAGAAGGGTTTCTGGTGCTACCTGTCCACACTGTGTGTTTGAGGATATGTGAAGGTTTCTGGTGCTACCTGTCCACACTGTGTGTTTGAGGGTATTTGAAGGGTTTCTGGTGCTACCTGTCCACACTGTGAGTCCTGAGGAAGTGTTCCACCCTCTCCAGCGTCAGTCCGTCCACGTTCCTCCCGCCCGGCCCAGAGTTCTGCAGGTCCCGCAGCAGGTACGACATACTGGAGTGAAGGTCCCTGTTGTTCATAAACAGTACAACTAGCAGTTAGAAAAAACATTTATAAAAGACAAAAGTCCTATACATGTAGCAGAGCTTGAAATTTGATTTGGGGAACACCAGTAAGTATAATGGTCAAAGTTACCTCGAAATTTAGCTGTAGATTGGGTGTATACCCTTGGCAAACCATCAGTATTGAAAATTTACTGTTAAGTACTGATCAACTACTAACAGTAAAATTTCAGTAAATCTTCAGTAAATTGTCTTTTTCTGTTTTACTGAAGCATTACTGGTAAGCACTGATGCCTCTATTTACTGTCGGTGTTTTAACCAATGTCTTGTTTGACCAATCAGACCATTACTGACCGTGTACTGTCTATTACTGGACATTTACTGGGACGAAATTTAGCTGTAGATTGGGTGCATTAAAGATTTATTAGAAAGTCAGCAAAACCTAAATACATGTAATGTACAAAAAATTTCTATGTTAACTACAGAAATTACTTCAATCTGTGAAGGTTAACACAAAAAGGCATAGCAGTCATTCACTATCTAAGTGAAGCATGATGCTTTTTTCAAGTTGACAGAATGTAGTAGTACATGTAGTAGTAGTAGTAGTAGTGCGATGTGGCATCACTACATCTTGCACTTTCAGCCTAGCTCAATGTGATGAAAGGATAATTATACAATCCCTGACCTATTTTAGAGTTAAAACTTTTGTTCCAACACAAAGAATTTCTCTCAACTAGAGCTTTCGACTTGTCACTCTGGTCTTCTTCAGTTCACTGACCCAGTTAATGGCTTCTCTGAAATATGGCTTCTTTGAAGTGTGACATCAACACTGGGTCAGTCTACGGAGGAAGACCAGAGTGACTGGTCGAATTAGCTCTAAGTGAGACTGTAAATTTGTGTTGCAACATAAGCTCTAGCTCTAAATATGTAACTACCAACAAAGATGAACTTTCATGATAAGTCCTGACCTTGTGAGAGTTTCCAGTCTCCTGATTTCTGCGTCCTTCTGTCTGATGGTGACTAAAAGTGTTCCATTCTCCATCTCAACAGCCTCCAGTTTCAGCTTCAGACCCTGGACCTGCTGCAGGGTAGCACTCACATCTGGAAGTAAAGTAAACATACGTAATACTATGTAAATGTGGTTATCATAGTGAAACAACCGAACACAACTTTCTACATTGCAAACTTTATTCTAGTCACAGAAGTACTCTGTTATCATCTCTTTCCAACATGGTAGACAGAGCTAAATGCAATTTCAGGGCAGCAAAACTGGAAATATTCTGAATAAGGCAATCTTTGTGATATTGACACATGCTGCTTCACATTAGCACATTTCAATCAGTATTTCGTACGTAGGGCATTTAAAACTGCAGAAACAAACCCCAAGATGAGTCCTTTATTTCATAGGTGGTACCCTAAAAATCAGCCCAGGGCCCTTCCAGTAACCATTTTTGTCAGAATTTTGGGAATTTTTGCTCCATGAGGGTCAATATACATTATGAAAGTGTGGTTTCAACTCAGTATGTAGATAAGTGACTAGAATATTGGCTTTCCAAAATTGGGTTTCCAAGCCCTAAAAACCACACTGGATGCCTTGTTTAGAGTTAAAACTTAATTGGTCCAACACAAAACACTTCAAAGAAGCCATGTGACAAGCCTCGATCACTGGGTCAGTCTACTGAGGAAGACCAGAGTGACTGGTCAAAAGTTCTAGGTGAGAGAACTGTTTTATTTTGGAACAAAAGTTTGAACTCTAAACATGTAACTATCAACACACATGAACTTATGATAGAATCTGACCTTGTTTGACCTTGACCATCTGGCTGTCCCACTCTGCCCGTGCTGACAGACTGTGTGTGTCCTGCTGTCCCACCATGTCCAGCAGGTTCTTGTTGTCCAGTCTGAGCCGGTCACACTCCTGTCTCAGGTCCTCCACCCTGCACTGCAGCTCCTCCTGGTGACCGGCCTGGTCCTGCAGCTGCTTCTCCAGGGACAGGTTTAGGGAGCGCAGAGACTCAACTACAGACAGGGGCAACATCAACACTCAACAAATCAAGAAAATGCCTCAGCCGTGAACAAACACTCTGCCATAGAGCTGTGTACAAAATGAACAGGTATAGGTACACAGGTTTAGGTACAGGTCTGGACCTGAAACTGTACCTAACGATTCAACTAACGATACAGTTCTACACCCAGGATTAGAAGACTCACCCTCGAAGCTGAAGTCAGGAGCCCTGTTCTCTCGCTCTGCTCTCTCCTTTTCTCTCAGCTGCTGGTTCAGGATTCGAACCCTTCTCCTCAACTGGCTGTTCTCACTTCTATAGGAGAAGACAACTTTATTACCCCCTGGTATTATACTGCAAGTAAAAATTACAGTATACATGTATGCATTTGAACTAGGATTATGGCCACAGTGCTGCCAAAGCAAAGACTACAAAGGCTGTGGGAAACACTCACAGATAGAGAAGCTATAATTATTATTATAGAAGGACAAGAAAAAAAACTATACATCAACCAACTTCTAGAACTATTAAAAGACACAAACCTGGGCAAGAATGCCTCGAGTGCTGCCATACAGGATAGAAAGAAAAAGAAGGACAGTCACATACACAGAGCTTGACTGATTGAGACACATATTTCAGGTGTTGTCAGTAATGGTTAGTACTTATTAAAAATACAGTGACCAAATTTTATACCTAAGAGGTTGAAGAGCCAAGTTGATGTCAGTCTGTATGTCAGCAGCCCTCCTGGTCTCTGGCAGCTGTCCCACAATCCTCTCCACTTCCTGCGCCAAACGTTTCACTTCCGGGTCATCCGCCGCGGCCTGTAACTCCCTCAGAAGATACCTCAGCGTCTGCAGCGATTTTCCCGGGCTCGTTCTCGGCACTTCTTTTTCTGACGCACGCGAAGGCGGCCGTTTCGGACTTGACGTGACAGTTTCGTCTAAGTCGTCCTGTTCTTGATCTGTTTTCGATTCATTCCCTTGCATTTGATCGACAACTGGCGCTCCCGTCTGAAAGAGAGCGCGCCGAGCAGGGCTAATGGTCTCGCGATCTCGAACTGGAACGCTATCTAACTGTTCTCTGCCCCCTCTTTGATCATTAGCTGTGGTATATTCCTGTTGATAAGTAGGTGCAGGATAACTGATAACATCACCTACAGAGGGTGGGTGATATCTATCATTATCACCTGGTTGATAATAACCTGATGTCGGTTGATAAGTTTGCTGGTTATGTGGCTGTTCAGGCTGGTTAACTGGATAGTTTTGCGGGTTAACCAGTTGTGCATGTTGCAATTGTGATTGTATCTGCTCATATTGTGGGGGCTGCATAGCAGGATGAAAAGGTGTAGCAGCAAAATCTTTCCCCGGTTGATACTGACCCCCATCTTTCTGTGGTGGGGAGTGGGGTACATTTTGGACAGGGGCACGATTTTGAGCTCTGAGCATTTGCAGCAGCGTGTTTGGGGAGGGGGGCCTTTTAGGGTCAGGGGAAAGGTTAGGAGTGGAACTTGGAATTCTTTCGTTGAACAGGGTTTTCTGTGCAGCTGGTGGTACCTGCTGCTGTAACACTGGACCTGTGGATGGGAAGAGAAAAATAACCATGTTTACATACACCACCTAGCAACACAGAGCAGTATTGCAAGGTAAATAGACCAAGAAGATGTACAACATACCAGCAGTTAAATATGTACAGAGGAAAGTTGATTGTAGCATTGCTTATTTTCATGTTTATGGTTGAAACAACACAATTATAAATGGAAGACAAAGTAATGCATCTACATAAACTTACAAAAATGTAACTAGAAAGGTAATATTTTCAAAGCAAATGCATAATGTTTAACTTCGCATAATATATACCGGTAGTCTGCTCTGTTAATTCTTACTCTAACATTTTCATATACTAGTATATGGTTAGACAGGAGTCTAAATCCCTCCTGCTATAAAATTGCAACATGATGTAACCCAACACTAGTTACCATGGTAACAGACGTCTGGTTATGGTCATTAACCTTATTGTAGAAGAAGAAGAAGAGGAAACAGAGCAAAAACAGCAGGTATACATATACATGTATAGGAACAGAGCAAAAACAGTATACGTGTACATGTATACAATTATGTTTTCCTTTGGTAAACATGAAATTGACAGTACCTTGTACAGGGACAGTAGGTACCCTGAAGGCATACGGTGACAAGTTTCCCTGCTTGGTCTTTTCAGGGGACCTTCTGGCAGTTGTCTGTTGTGGGGCTGTGGTCTTCTTTACAGCTGGCTTTGTTGTCTTTGTCTTACTCGGTGGTACCTTAGTCTTGGCAGGGTTGGGCTTTGTCTTAGGTTTGGGCTGCTGGTTCGGTTTCTGCTTTAGACCTTTGGTAAAAAATAGTAGCGAAGGGACTCATGATTCAGATACTTACTATGTGATTATTCTGGGAAGAGAAAAATAGCCATGTTTACAAACACCACCTAGCAATACAGAGCAGTATTGCAAGCTCCATACACCAAGACTATGTACATGTACATGAACGTCAAACAAACAATAGCAACAAACATCACCATATTTCTCAGATTAGAATGTTTCTTGTTTCTTACAGGGGGATGCATTGTCTTTTCAGTGAGCCAACAACTAGAATTTGTCCAGAATGGTAGCTTAGATTATAATATACTGATCTAAGCTACCTTTAGTGTCTATGATCAACTTGCTTTCAAACGAAAGTTATGTTGCTCATGGAGCTACGTCAAACAGCTTGAAAATTGATGTCCCCCAAAAAAGGCAAGGGTCTGCATTTTTTCATTTGGGAAACAGGAAACACAACATTTTTTCCTAGGCCCCTATGCAGTGAATTTTAGTACCCACCTTGTGTAGTAGACCTCTCTGCAGGTTCTCTACTGAGAATGTCACCCAGGAGTGCAGCACAGCGGTCCAGACCTTTGTTGGTTGAAGTGACCTGAGAAACATTTGGTAGTGAGTTACTAGTAGTTTTTATAGTGTGCGTAGTCCAGTGGTTAGCGATCCTGCTTCTGGACTAAGACTAAGAGGTTGGGAGTTTAAATCCCGGCTGTTGTCGCTCACCCGACATGCACGCTACTGTTTAGGCTCGCAGTCCTTAGGACGGGACGTTAAGCCGTGGTCCACTGTTCATTGTGCTTGTCGAAAAAAGCTAGGGGAACTTCCCAGGTACAATAAACCTGTAAATACTGTACATAGCATCTGTCTTCTTTGTCACGACCAGTGGAAGATTAGCTCTTCAGCTAAACTGGTTCGAGATCACTTTCACTTTCACTTTTTGAAAGCCGCACTTTGATACAAAAATAAAATACAGATCTGATACATATGTTACAGGGCTGGAAATACTGGGTACATGTGCACATTAGTGCACCCAAATTTGGAGCTGTGCACGCAATTTTTTCTGTGGGTGCACCAGTGCACTCAAAGATTTTTGTAGGTTTACGTATGTCAATATGATAAATGTACATGACATAGTTAAGTATACAGCATATTCTTTACTAGTACATCCATATTCATAACATCCATTTTTTCTGTGCACACAATTTTCTAAGTTGGGTGCACACAAGTGCACCTACATCATGAGTAGACAGATTATCAGGAAAACATTGTCTACCTGGTCCTCTGAGTCAGTAGAGTACAGGGAAAAGCCTGCCTCTGAGTAGACAGGAGACGGAGCACGCTTTCCTCTGACAGGCCTAGAATAACAAGTGTTGATAACAAATTCAAATTGTCTCTAGACACCATTACTAGCAGTTTTTATGGACAATCAAGAAACTATAGTACACAGTGACACTCAGTCTACTCTCACCTCTTGAATAAAAGTACCCCCTGGAATAAAAGTACCCCCCGGACAAATCTTCAAAATGTAATAAAAGTACCCCCTTGAATAAAAGTACCCCCCGGAAAATTTTAAATTGAAATGTGTAAGCAATGTTTATGCTACTAAAATGTGTTCTCACGGTGTACATGTATGTGTCCCTTGCAAACACAGGTCCCAAATAAACATACCGGGGTACCCCCGGAATAAAAGTACTCCCGAGAAATCTTCAAAACCTAATAAATATCCCCCCCCCCAGAATAAACATACCCCTGGAAAATTACCAAATTATCAGCCTGCATTCTTACAGGTTAATGAGAAGTACATGCCTTTGTATATGTCGTGCAGTCTAATGACATTATCCATCTACATTCTAACTTGAGATCTGACTCTGAGTTCACACAATTTGTTGTTGATCATTGCATTGCATGCATGCATTGAGCAGGAACAATGCTATCAAGTTTTGGAATACGAGTCCTTGATTTTTTAAGGTTAAGAAAAATTACAAGAATAGAGTTTGAAGTTGAACAAAAATTAACAATATGCTAAATACATGCTCTATACAAATTTGCAGTAATGTGTAAAAAGCCATAGGGAAAAGAATCATATAATGTTAGATTTTGAATGGTATTTCATTTTTATACCTTTAAAAAAACTTCAATCAGTTTTCAAACAATTGTCACAATCCACAAGTCACACACAAAGTTCACACAGAATAGCAACAATTTGAAACACTGCCACAATCTCAAGGGTCTCAGGTTTCACTTACAAAATGTAGCAAGCTTTGAAGTTTGTGTTATGCAAATGATGGGAGGCGGGGCCTCAAGTTCTTGGAAGAATGGTTCATTCTCTACTAGGGGGACAATAACATTTTAAAACATTTTGATGTGTACTTGATATGAATAGATTGCAAGTTTTGTCATGTCAACACCTTTTTACTTGTTATTCAACTGTTCCATAATGTAACATCCATATTTGATTTTTTAAGAAAGTAGTTTTATTCACATTAAAAATCATAGCCTTCCCCATACTCAAAGTAGGCTCTTCCAAATGATCGTGGGAAGTTTTCAAGTCTTCACTCCTTACGTGCTCCAGTCAGAACGGACTATTTCCAGCTTGAATTGTCATTTCTGTGGTAGGATTTGGGAATTCTTGTGAGAAATACGATTTATTGTGCTAAAATACACTGTTGTCTGGTATTGTTTTCATATTTTCATTGGAAAAAGGAATACTTGAAACACGTAATGTGCAAGCACATGTTCCTCCCCCCAAATTATTTCTAGTAACGCTAGCTCATATCTCCGACCTGCTACGTGTTCCAAAATATTACTTACCTTTTTCTAAAAAAAGAGGTGATCTTTTCCCTACATAAGTACAAGTACGATGACTCAGTAAATCTGCCGTACGTTTGGTGTCAGTAAAGTTCTGCCCATGCATATTTGACATGTTGCAAAGTGGCCGCTACTTTGGGCGGCTGTGTCCGGGCATCGTGGCTTTCCAAAAACTTGCACCCAGAAAAAATGTTTTCTCCAAGAGGGCATGTACTTTCAATGCTGTTAACTATGCCCCGATTTTGAAAAATTATTATATGTACCGTCCAAAATGAGATCGTACCGGGTGGATGTTCGGGGCAACAAAAAAAAAGGCACACGAGAGTTAGTTTATTCACGGACGTTCAACACCGGAGCGGCCACCCCCGGTCTTGTCGGATCTTCTTGCGTACTGGCAGAACTAACAAAACATGAAAAGTACCCGCTAGAATACCGCAACAAGTTACTACAAAAAGACTTAAATGTATTATTTGTACCAGGAACTTCCTTCTTACGTCCAGACATGTGTTTTTCGTGACATTTTAACTCTGCTGTTACGTACTTTTTTGCCCGGAACTTTTTTGGATTCTGAAAAAAAATAAACGTACCGTCTAAAATAAGAACGTACCGGGCGGATTTCAAGGCGAAAAAAAATAAACGTCCCGGTACGTTTATTAGAGAGGTAAGAGTAATTCAATTCTTAGTCTTTATGATTAATAAAAGGTTTAAATAGAAAAGATCATGAAACTTACTTCTTGGTTCCCCTTCCAGCTGCGCCCCTCCCTCTACCCACTCCAGGCACTGACTTTACCTGTAAACAAAGAAAATATCATGTTTAGAATTAGATAGTGCATTTTCAAGTACATTTCTGCTACCATTATTAAATAATTATGTAACTTGTACTTGGTTATTGTTGCTACCTCCATGGTCTAATATATCACTAGACATGGTCTCTTGGTGCTGGTTAACTCTTGGTTCAGTTCAGTCAATTGTCTCTGTAGGTATTTAACACTTGGTGACTTGAAAACACTATTGGGTACTAGTATACACAATCAACAAATCATGCAGTACTCTGATGTCCCGATTAAACGTACCGGTACGTTTATTTTTTTCGGCCCGAACGTCCACCCGGTACACTCTTATTAGGGACGGTACGTTTATTAATTTTTGGGGAAAAAATTGTCCATACGTACCGCACCATCAGCAAGTGCCCGGCGGCCGCAAAATTCGGCAACACGTCACAGATAAATATTTGGTCCATGATAGCGGCATTTCCCATGAATATAATGTATATTATTTATTTTTCGCCTGCTGTCCATTTTTAAGTCCCAAAACGTCTGAAAAAGCAAAAATTTGCCCACAAAACCGAAGGGGAAGGCGAGTAGCACATGGCGGCCGCAAGTCCTTGTCAAAATCGGCAACGCGGCAGAAAAATGCCTGGTCCATTTTAGCGATATTTACCATGAAAAAACGTATGTGGTTTATTTTCCCTCTGGTGTTAGTTTTTAGGTCCCGAAACCCCTAAAAAAGTAGAAATTTGCCCACAAGACGGACGGCCGACGTGGGGAGGGCGCCTAGCGCCTGAGCAGCATGACCCGTAAAAAGTCAAAGGTCATAGGGCACCCATATTGCGCAATCACCGTAAAAGCGCCGATTTAGCTAATTTTAGGGCGTTTAAAATTGATACAATCACATTATCGATTTTTAAAAAAACAATGAGATGGAAACCAATCAAAATTTTATGCTGAATAATATTTTTTTTCTTCAAAAGTTTTTTTTCTTCAGAAGTTTTTCTTCTTCGGAATCCAGACTTTGACCAGACTAGACAATGTACCATACCAAACAATTATTATGTTGAAATGGATTTTGTTGTACATATACTCATTAAACCCCTATATTTGTACTTAATTGGGCTTGATTTTCTATCTCTTAAGTTAGTCAGATTTTCAACTCAAGTTGCAGGAGAATAGCAAACCTCTGTAAAAATGAAAGCGTCCCCGACGGAGAAACGCCCGTTTAAACGCCCGTTTGTGGTGGCCGTTTGTTTGGGACGGCTGCCCGTCCCTGGCGGTAAACGGGGGCAACGGACGCCTTCACAAAGGCCAAAACGGGCTAGGACGCCTCAAACGCCTGGGACGCCGTCAGAACTGTCCGTTTTCGACGGCGTCCGGGGCGTTTCTTAAGGCGTTTGGGCGCCGTTTCCGACGGGCTGCCGGGCGGGCTGCTGGACGCGCTGTCGGACGGGCAGGCCGGACGGGCTCCAGGGCGGGGCCGGGCGACGCTTGGGACGGCACAGGTGGGGTCCAAACGGCGTATCCGACGGCCGGACGGGTCTCTGGGGGGTGCTCAGTCATTGTGGACATTTTGATCTTGCCGCTCCGACGGGGCTGGGACGGCGTTTCCGACGGCGTCCCGTCAAGGAATGTGCCGATATAGTAATTGAAAACAATTGCAGATTGGCATCGAACCAAGTATGTTACGGCCGCCCACATTGTAACAGTAAATACAAGTGAAGTAAATACAGAATGACATGATCAAACGAAAACTATTTTCTTCGTCAAGAATATAGAGTAATGATAATATATATTGTTGAACAGCGGCTGTAAACAGCGGCGAACATGCGACGAAAATAACGCGCCATTTTGAGCGCACACAAACATAAAGGGCCAGGGTAAAAAAAATACAAGTTAAATATTGCCTAAGTGGACATTTTAACATCGTCATCTTTCTCCATTAAAATTCGTATATTGTATAGTTATATTCTACGTAGTTTTGTACGTCTTGGGAAATTTCGTATGAAAACAACATTGACAGTTGCGTTTGTAGATGGCAGCCGTGACGTCAGGACTTTCCAGCAGCCGGTTACTTAGTGCGGGACTTAGAGCCACTGGATTTTGTGTAAGATTTTTCATGACATGTACATTTTTACGGCATCATCGTTCTTTATTAAAACAGCAGGTACTGTACACATTTATTCTACAAATCGTTCGTCTGCGTCTTTTTTATTTTTCATCGTTAAAACATCATGAAATTTCCGTTACCAGCCCGGCGGCTCATGTTGCAAAATTTATGTGGGGAGGGCACTTGGGAAGTACGTCAACAAAATTAACCTCGAACTTCTCAGCAGCCCCTGGAATTAACTAATGTTCTGATGTAGCAATTGTTACACTGTCTTACACAGTTCCTTTGTAACATTTGACAACGAAAAATTCTTGTCCACTTACCGAGTCTCCTCGAAAAGAAACCGCCGAGACAGATTGCTTCCGTACACCCGAAATTCTGGCGGCCGCTGTTTACATTCTTGGAACACCTCGTTTGACATTTTAGTCAGTCGCTGGAGTTGCCCAAACTTGTGTGCAGTGTCGACGAAAGATATAGCTGCTTGTAAGACTGAAATCCATCCTCCAAAATTGCACACAATCCAACAAAATGGAAAAAAAACTGAGATCGACTGAGCAGAAGTGTTCCCCCAGCCAGCCCGGCCTGACGGTTAGAACCGTTAAATCTAGCGCCTTCAAACTTGGCGCATGTGCGTCAGAAGCTTAAAACCCCGTGGGAAACATCGTGAAGCACGCTACTGCCGGCCGCTGCTGTTGTCAATTAATTAATAAACGCCCGTTTCCATGCCGGACGGTTCAGGACGGCTGGGAGCGACGGGGTGCCGTCACTAATTTCTGGGACGGCCGTCCGGCGGGAGTTTGTGGACGCTGCCAACTGTGTTGGGACGGTCAGGACGCCGTTTCCCGCTAAGGACGGCCAGGGACGGCGTCCGGCAGGCGTTTCTCCGGTTGGGACGCTTTCATTTTTACAGAGGCAGTGCATTTCAGAAGTGTAAAATGCAATAGCTTCTCCTACGTATTTCGTATTTCCCCAAAACAAGTACAATATATATATACTCATTAATTAAAGTGATATATACTCACTAATTAAATGTAACAGTGAAAGATTTGCCCATATATTGGTATTGAAATAAAGTGCACATTTTAGTATCATGGACACACAGTTCTGAGACAGTGACCACACTGACAGCGACTGAGAGTACCCTCATGCCTGGCTTTAGCATTAGGCCAGGAAATAAAGAAGTTTGTTGTTGCAAATAATTGTGTGATTCGTTGTTCTTCTCCAAGAACCGACTCCATAATATAGCTAAGCACACATTGACAATTTCTTTGTACCAGTGTGTCAATGTAAGCCTTTTCTTTTATTATTTAAATAGTTTAACTTTATTCTAGGTTGTTAACATTGCTCAATACTTATAGGAATATTAGTTGGTAAGGCCAAGAGCTTTGTTTTTTCTTCAAATTTTCTATATAATAGTGGTGCGCCTAGATTTTGGCCTGTGCTCCTAACTTTTGAGGGTTAGGAGCACAGTGCTCCTAGGTCAAAAAGTTAATCTGGAGCCCTGGTTCACCTGTCAATTTGGTCATTTTCCAGGGGGTACGTTTATTCCGGAGGGTATGTTTATTAGACTTTGAAGATTTGTCCGGGGGGTATGTTTATTCCGGGGGGTATGTTTATTAGGGACATGAGAGTAATTGGGTTGAAACAAAATACGTAACATTAAAATAACAAGTAAAACGTGTTACCCTGCCTGTTCCCCTTCCTATAATCTTGCGAGCGACCGGCATTTTCTCCTCATTAGGAATAACGTATGCTAATCAGGATGCAGTACTCTATCCTGTGTGAAGACAACATGTCAGAAATAAATACAAACAATTTCACGGCGGTCTGGCACTTTTCAAACGTGTTTACTACTTAACAACTGTTTACTTGTCTTTATGCAAAAATTATTTGATTCCCAAACATCTGAGCACATACCAGACGAAACGCCGAGACGTAAACATGTTCACAACATGAAATATGAGACTAAAACAACAAAAAATCGGAGAAAAACAAAACTTTCTCACCAACGGCGGCCATTTTGAATTTTTATCCCGTCATGCCTCAGTGAGGGAAAATCCATTTTGCATCATTTACGGTGTCAAAATACATAAAAACTTCCCATTTTCAAATTACAAAACTTCTTGAATGTTTTTTAAACAGAAGAAAAGAAATTTTCTAAATTAAAAATCACTCAATATGCAACTTTAATATTATATACTGATGAATCTTACATCCATACGTACCCTGTGTCAGAATTATTGAGTTGTCCCTAATTAATTGGGGTCATTGCAGGTCAACAGCCCAGGTCGCCAAGACAGCAGGAGACGCTAAATTTTATGAAGGTTTGTTGCACGATTTTTGCCAAAATCTGGCAATTTGCGGCAATTTTCTTGTTTCTTTACAATCTGAACAGTATTAGGAATAAGTTATTTTGTGGAAAAAGGCTCCTTTTTGTGTTTATTTTGTTAGTTTATTGGTTTAATTCACGATGGTAAGAATTTGTTTTGGTGGGTGGGGTGGGGGAAAGATCAACTGATGTTGATGTGTGATGCGGATTTTGCGATTCTTGTTATGATATGAGTTTTTTTTTGCCAAATAGTTCTCTGGTGTACGGTGCACAGTCATTCAGACAAAATAACGGCAAATGGTCATGACAAAAGAGTTGTTGTAGAAAAATACAATTTCAAAATCTGATACCTTGATCAAAACATAGAAGAATATCACTAAAATATAAATTTATTTCCAAACTAGTAACATTCATGCTATACGTAATCATAATCTTAATCAACTATTTAACTTGTATGTTGTCAAAAGCAATACATTTTTGTGCCGCTGTGACATAATTCATGATTTTCGCGAAATACACAATAAATCATCAACAACATTGTATGCAATGAAATTGAAATCCATACAGTAAACACATAGGTTATGTGACTATATAGTATACTCATTTGCATACTTGTGACTCGCTACATGCAGGCTTTACCGATATTTACATGTTGCTATTTTTCTTTGTAAGTAGTATATGAGGTGACTTGTGATCACGATGCCCGAGGTGGGTACGGAGGGTTCGCTGGTGCTGGACGTCCTGTTGAAGACATGTATCGGGAACCAACAGTTGAAGGGTCTACTGGAGTCTGACCCTGCTCAGCTCACCAAACTGGTACCCAAAGTCTCCGCACAAACATGTAATACAAGGTAAGGCGCCATCAAACCTCTGCATGTAAAAGAACCCAACACACTTATAAACAAGAAAAAACACAAACACAAAAAGTCATCTGCAGTGACATAGGAACTCCCCACGAAACCCATTTTTGGCCTTGACAATAGCCACCCCAAAGACAACCTGCCTGCCAAAAATCGTGAACCTTGGACCATGCCTTCAAAAGTTATCATGCATAATCTGCCAAACAGTGCCGAAACGATTTCATAGCCTTCTCGTCAAAGGCAAAAAGATTAAGCTGTCCTGGCGTGCTCAGTTATGATGTGCAAGACATACTAGGAGTCAAGCCACATCGCAATACTGTAATTCACTTTATGTTCACAGAAGCAAAATTTCATGGTCTGAGAAAAATGGTCAGGTCAGAACTATATATTCACGGTGGCGACAGGTGCAGGAAAAAGAAAGTCCAGGAATTATCTGAATGTTAACTGTAATGATAAGTTCACAGTACAGAAGTGACAGTGAAAACAGTGAACACAACAGTACAGTGAAAAAACAGGAATATTAACTTAGGCCACACCAATTTAATTTCTTGGTTCTCGGATTCGCCTCTTTGTTTTTTTCTGATTTGCAAAAAAAAAAAAATATGATTCTGGTTCTGAATCAAGTGAAAAATGCTCATATTTTGCCCCCAACAGTTGAGGAAAGTCCTTTTCTTCCTACTTGTTACAGTTTTCCCATCTATCATTGCAGTGGTTTGATTAAAAGTTCAAAATTCAATGTTTAAATTTTAACCCAGCCTTTTGTGTTGACTTCATGGCTCATTTCGTAGCATTTAATCCTATAATAGGATGCCTAGACCTGTTTTTATTTTTATTTTTTTTTCGCCCTGTCGCTTCATATTTTTTCTGAAAAATTCCGAGAACCAACAAATTAAATTGGTGTGGCCTTAAGTAAAAATGTTATGCTTCGTCCTTATAATTATATATCTTGTGTAATTAATTTTCAAAATCAAAACCCTTAATATTGAGCCCACATGTAAAACTGATCCTTGTGAGGAAGTAAGTGAATAAATTGTATACATGTGATGCAATACTGGTAAAAAGTTACAGGTGTTGGTATTCCGTATTTTCCAGGTATAATGAGTTGTCCCAGGTGGCTTCTTGCACTTGGACAGGTGCCCGTTCTACCAACAGGCAGCCCGCACGGAAACCAAAGACAGCTAAGTCCAACGTCAACCCTGCAAACAATCAGAAAGGTCCAACATCTGCACAACCTAACCAAGCAAAAGGTACCACGTTGGTAGAACGTACTGCACTACTGCACAACGTACTGAGAATGTCTCATATATATACTATAAGATGGTATTCTTGCATATTAGGTCAACATCCCGTCTGTAGTTTTCATTTTATGTTGTGTCGGAAAAGATATCGTCTGCAACAGGCAAAATTCTGATGCAACGTTGACCAAAAATCCAACGAAAACAATAGATTTTTTTTATAAAGGATAAAGGCCACATCAATTTAATTTGTTGGTTCTCAGATTTTTTTCAGAAAAAAATATGAAGTTAGTGACAGGGCGAAAAAACTTATCAAAAATAAAAACAAATCTAGGCATCCTTGAATTTTTAACTTGAAGTTCTGAGCAAACCAATGCATAATGATACTTGTCTAATAGATGGAAAAACTCTTAGTCTAACAACTAGGAAGCTTTCTTCAACCATGTGGGCCAAAATATGAGTATTTTGGAGTTGATTTAGAACCTGAATTTTTTTTCTTTTTGCAACTCAGAAAAAATGAAGTTGGCGAATCTGAGAACCAATTAATTAAATTGGTGTTGCCTAAGATAATCTTTCCTACCTTCCAGCAGTTCCAGATGCTCCAGCTGCACCAGGTGACATTCCAAACTTCCAGCTGCCACACGCGCTGCTGCCTGAGCCCCACGGTGCTAACATGGTGATCCACGTGTGTGACGAGGCGAAGAACCTGAAACAGGACTTCTCCTGTCCACGGGACCTCCTGGTGCAGGAGATGCAGTACTTCGCTGAGTACCTCTCCACAGGTAGACTGGTCTTTGTTCAAATATTGGAATACCATTATTGCAGGGCTTGAAATACTTTTTTTCAGGTGCGGCCAAAATTACACAATGGCAAAAATTTTAGGTGCAATTTGAAAGATTTACATGTACACAATATATGTATGTGCAAAATTATATTTGGTGGGTTTGCAACTGTTTTACAGTGTGTTAAACTTTTTAGCCAGCCATAGCATACATGAGTTTATATATTAAGAATAAGACTAAACATAAACAATGCAAGTTCGTGTAATCTAAATCTGACAATTTTTTGGTATTCAAAATGGTCATTTGTGGCTAGCAGTATTGTAGATTCTTCATGAAAGTTCATCATGTGTTGGTAGTAATCATAGTAAAATGTTGAACTTTATTCCAACACAAGGGTTACACTGAGATCAAATTTTCAATGACACCTGTCGCCTTCATCAGGATAATAATTATCTCGCGATATTATGTTGTGAAGTGATTGGTCATTAATTATCCTGATGAAGGCGAGAGTGGTCGTTGAAAATTTAATCTCTGTGAAACCTTGTGTTGGAATGAAGTTCAACGTTTTACTATTGTAGATTTGTGTTTACTGTTTGTCAGTATGTTGATTTTCTTTGCTGCTGGTTTTTCAGATGCACAGAGATGGGAAGAAGTGGATATATCGGTGCACTGCGACGTCCACATCTTTGATTGGTTGATGCGTTATGTGAAGCGTAACAGTCCCCGCGAGAAAGACAAAGAAACGCCGAAACTCGAGCCCAACAACGTCATCTCCATCCTGATTTCTTCCGACTTCTTGAAGATGGCGACTCTCGTGGAAGAATGCATCGAGTACTGCCATCAGAACATGAGCGCGATCGTTTCCACGCCGTGTAACATGAACTGCATCAGCGACCCGCTCATCACGCGAATCGCCGCTACGTTCGACCACAACGAAGCCGACGAAATCAAAGACCGCAAGGACAAAATCAAAAGCAAGATCTTCTGTAAAAAGATCGAGTCCCTGTTTCAAAACAACGGCGCGACGCTGTTTCGCTGTCACGTGTGTAAACGCGTGCTCACGCAGGATATGCAAATGAAAGTCAAGTGTTTTCCCACGCGAATGTCGATTAACAGTCACGGTGCAATAGCGTATAGACACTCGCCCGACGCAAACTGGGATGTTAACGACTACATCATTAATATGCATAACGAGTTGAAGGCATGGAGGGATGTATACTGGAGGCTGTGGGGGATGTTACACTATCTACAGTGTTCCAGGTCGGTGGGAGAAATCCTTTTTTTTCAATGTTCTGCAATGCTGTAGAATGTCAAAAAAAATTAGTCCTGCAATTTGGAAATACTTTCTAATTCTGTAAATACACACATTGATATCTAAATCCTGGGCATATAATAATAATAATATGAAATTACATGTTGGCAAATATTTTACATGCAATATGAAAAATACATGTTCTGTAACTTGGAAAATGTCTCTAAGGCGTAGGGAAAAAATGTTGTGTTTCCTGTTTCAGTCCTGAAAAAACTTAGGGTCGGTAGGTAGGGATTATCTTTTTTTCTTTCTTATTTTTTTTACACTTTGGCAATCTCTAGTGATCCAACTTATACATGACAGTTTATAAAAGTAAAACTTGCATGAGGACATTTTCAATGTCAATGTTAGAAAACCTATATTGTACGTTTCATCACTCAGGTGTCAGATCATGGAGCTAGAAAAGGAGCTAGAAAACTTTATGTCCCTTGTATGGGTTCACTCACAAAAATGCTAGGGTCTGCAGTTTTTTAATGGGAAACAGGAAACACAACATTTTTTCCCCTCAGCCTAAAATGCATTTGTGTATTTGTTACACCTGCAGGTGCAAAAAGATGTTCCCGTGTGTGGAGCTGTCCCACTGCCAGTTTCACCTGGAGCAGCCGCAGTACCCACCTGCCACAGATGAGCTGTCCATGGTAGCAGTCGGGATGTATGCCTGCTGTAACTCCAAAGCCATGAGGTGGGCCTTGTCATTTTTTATTTGAGCCTGATTCAAATCACACAATTTTGTCAAGCCACCATTTTGAGAATTTGACCTCCAGCCTGCTAAGGCCACACCAATTTGATTTCTTGGTTAACGGATTTTTGAAGAAAAATAATGGAGCGGGCGGGCGAAAAAAAAATAAAAATAAAAACAGGCCTAGGCATCCTATTATGGCCCAAAATGGTACGATAGAAGCCATGAAGTCAACACACCAGGCTGGTTCAAAATTTAAACAATGAATTTTGAACTTTTAATGATACGACTGCATTGAAAGATGGAATAACTGTAACAACTAGGAAGAAAATGACTGTTTTCAACTGTTCAGGGCAAAATATGAGCATTTTGCACTTGATTCTGAATTTTTATTTTTATTTGCAAATCAGAAAAAAATGAAGCGGGCGAATCCGTTAACCAAGAAATTAAATTGGTGTGGCCTAAGGTAGCCATTTGGTACCAGATTTGTATTGGTTATGCTGTTATACTAACTTATACGTTATAGGCAGCAGGGAGAAGGTTAACTTAAATGGACTTTACTATAATACTTCTAGGATTTTTTTCCTCACAAACATTTGGATACAAAAAAGAAGGTGGGGGATATTTTTGAAGGTCTTTTTTTCTTCTTGCTCTCTTTGCTCAGTGATCCTTATTATTTGATGGTAGGATTTTTTTTTAGAAACAAACACTAAGTTAGATAAAAAATGAAGTATTTTTTGTTCTTGTTCTTTTTCAAGGTCATTACCTAAAGAAAACGTTTTTCTCTGTTCCTTCTTCCATTTTTTCCATTCCAAACACATAAGGTTGAAATGACCTGAACCAGACGTCTGTCACCATGGTAACTAGTGTTGGGTTACATCATGTTGCAATTTTATAGCAGGAGGGATTTATACTCCTGTCTGACCATATATATATTATGAAAAATCAATGACTTTGTGTAATTGAGTAAGAATTAACAGAGCAGACCATATGCGAAGGTAAACATTATATGCATTTGCTTTGCATTTGCTTTACCTTCTAGTTGTCTTTTTTGTTCTTGTTCTTTTTCAAGGTCATGTTTTGTTTTTTTGTCAGATTTGACCCCTCAGGCCTGAACAATGGCTGTAGGACCAGGGACCATGTGGTCAACTTCAGCAGTAACAAGCCTGGTACTGACCACGAGGAGACATCAGACAGGGTACTGGAGGACTTACTCCTACACAAGGACGCGGTGTGTGTCCCGTTCAAACCATCCACACGCGAATCACGCAGCTTGGAAACACTCGCACAGGTAGGTGTTGAAACTTCCCAAAGTGTGTAAAAAATCATCAAAATGTCAAAATGCGTTTTAGAAGTGTATACATTAGTATTGAATATTCTTTCATCCATAAATTGCATAATATGATAGTCTACTCTATGCATATAAATTTGAACAATCATGAATGAACTACAGACTACTAACAAAGGATTTCTGTAGAATTGAAATGTTTAAGCTTTGAAACTTGGTCTTGATGATGTTTCAAAGTGCATTTTTGCACCAAAGCTTTTTAATAGACCAGTTTACATTTCATGCACAGGTCAAATAAACTGTTACGTCACGGGGACATTTTGAAAACAACGCCATTCTAGAACCGGCTTTCCTTGTGATGTCCCCCCTGGCAGATCACTGTGATGGTCAGCATTCTGCTCTCAGATAACAGATTTTGACTATCTGGTGAGATTGGGTGGAAGGAAACAGGGGACAGGGGACATCATTCAGTGAAGTATTGATAAGCTTTAGACTCATTGGCACAGGCCAGGAACTTTAAAAATCAAAGTTACACATGTCGAATATCTGCCATGGGTAACACCTTAGGGAAAGCCAGTTCTAGAACAGCATAATATTCAGAATGTCCCCCCTGTGATGTAACAGTTAATGGACCTATCACATTATTACGTCATAGTTTGTTTACCTGTTCTAAAGAACATTCTAAAACAGTCAGTTAAAGAATAAAGATCATTTCAAAGTTTTCAAAGTCATGCAAGTATGTTTGATTTTTGCTGCGACTAGTTGTGTTGGCACAGCATTACATGCCGCATGGGTGATCTAGTTGTGACAGTAGATGAAAGTAGTACTGTATAAAGGCCTTATATTGAGGCTAACGCTACACAAACACACACCTCACTACGCATCCCTGTGCAATATAAACGTCGATTGACCGGCATTCATTGCAGTAAACAAACTGTGACGTAATAATGTGATAGGTCCATTCGATCCGTGAAAGGTACACTGGTCTATTTTTACATCTTTGTTGTATTGAAAAGTTTTTTCAGTCTGTCAGCTGATGTTTGTTTGTTGTTTGTTTGTTTGTTTGTTGACACACAGGTTGGAATGGACTATCTCCTAGATGGGAATGAGAAAACCAAGCGTCCAATCTTCCCTGACAACGGTGTGCTAGCCAACAGGCAGCACAGTCCTGACGTAAGTGTACAAAATATCCACCTTTCTTTTTGTGTGTCCGGCAATACCCTTACACCACGCTGGTTCTGTTTAAAATAGCAGGTAAGGCCTAGGAAAAAATGTTGTCTTTCCTGTTTCAGTCCTGAAAAAAATTAGGGTCGGTAGGTAGGGATTATCTTTTTTCTTTCTTTCTTTTTTTTAGCCTTCAGTGATATTTATGTAGTAATCCAACTTATACAATACAGTTTAACAAAGTAAAACTCGCATGAGGACACTTTTATTTTCAATGTAATGTTAGAAAACCAATGGTACAGTGTTTTATCACTCAGGTGTCAGATCATGGAGCTAGAAAAGGTTGATCAGCTCAAAAGTTTATGTCCCTTGCAAGAGTCCATTGGCAGTTTTTTTTTTTTTAGGGTAGGTAGGGATTAGGGAGTAAATTCCACCTGATTCTAGCCCCAAAAATGCCCAGAACTCAATGTCATGTCTCTGTGATGATGCTTAAGTTGGTGAGAATGTCATCTGGTAATATTTCTTTCTGTATATTTTTGTCTATGACCCCTCAGCATGAAAGGGAATTGGCATATAGATCTGTTTTGAGGCAATGTTAGAATCCAATGCTACATTATGAATGCTAACTATTCCTTTTCAAAGAATGCTAACTCTAGCACGTCGGCAGAACGTACTGCACCTGCGCAAAACCCTGATTTTTCAAGGTTTTCATTGAATTTTTGGTCAACGTAACGTCGTTGCATCAGAATTTTGCCTGTTGCAGACGATATTTTTTCTGACATAACATGTGAAAACTACAGCATCCAGTGCAGTTTTTAGGACCTGGAAACCCGATTTTTCACAGCCAATATTCTAGTCACTTAATCTACATGTTGAGTTGAAACAACACTATCCCAGGCTTTGTATATTGACCCTCATGGAGCAAAAATTCCCATTTGGCAAAATTCTGACGGAAAATGGTTACTGGAAGGGCAAGTTGGCTGATTTTTAGGGTACCACCTAAAATAAAGGACTCATCATGGGGCTTGTTTCTGCAGTTTTAAATGCCCGAAGTATAGAATACTGATTGAAAAGTGCTAATGTGAAGCTGTATGTGTCAGTATAACAAAGATTGCCCTATTCAGAATATTTCCAGTTTTGCTGCCCTGAAATTGCGCAGGTGCAGTACGCTCTGGCAACGTCCTGCTAAACTCTAACCCAATCAGCTACAAGTGCAGTGCTATACTAATGCTCCTCACTGTTGCTAACTTGTCATGTTGGATGTGAACTCCTTCCGTCTGCCACCCTCTTCACCTCTCTGTGTGTTCTTCTGTTTCTGACACCCCCCTCCCCCCTCCGACCGTGCCCCCCTCCCCACGGTGCAGGCTGCCGGGTCCTGGCGTGTATGGTTGGGTTTTACCACTTTTTGCAAGACTATCAAGACTTTCTCCTTCTTGCGCTGCTGCCGAGAGGAAAACGCTCCCAACATCCAGGCTGAGCTTTACTCTCTCCTACCTTCTTTGGCACACATAATAAACATAAATAAACATAAACATAAACAAGCACTGCCCTGGGTCTTTTTTTAGCTTTGGTGGCCATGATTCTTTATAATTAGAGAGTTTTATTCATTATTTTTCAGAAATTTAATTTTAAAAATGCCATGGAAAATTAGTCAAAGTGGAACATTTCTGCCACAACAAAATGCTGATTCAGACATTATTTTTCAGAAATTTGAAAATGCCATGCAAAATTAATTAAATTGGAACATCTCTGCGTTAACAAAATGCTGATTCAGATATAATTCAATGTACTTAAAGGCTAGTTGGCCCTTCTTAGATAACAGAAAGTCAGCACTGATTCTTTGAAAACGTGAACTTTTTTCTGACTTTCAGTTTAGTGTAAGTGTTTTTTCTGATTCCATGTTAGAAGTCCAGTTCTTCCGAGAAACTGGCCTTTTTCTGACAATTCTTCTTTCAAACTGCAATGGTTCTAAACATTCCAAACAGCAAGACATACAAATAAAGGGCCGAGTAATAAGTATCATATATCAGCTGCAAAATGCAAAAACACACTTCTGATCAATTATATTAATGGGTGATTATGTTTTATAGCAACAGGTGTGAGAATGAACACGTGCATGGTACCGGTAGGTGCATGAAGGGAGGTGTTGCCTGCTCGAGATATAATCCTAATCCAATAGACCAGTTTACCTTTCATTGATCGCATGAACTGCTTACGTCACAGGGGGGATATTTCAAATAGAACACCATTCTAGAACCGGCTTTCGCTTGCGTTGTCCCCTAACCTCCACCAGGCCTTTCTACAGGAATACGGATCGTAGAATTCGGCAAAAAAGAGAGTAAAATTGACCAAAGGAGTCCGGCAGCAGGGAGGTAGTTTCTTTCCCTCCGACCTAGCCTCCACCAGGCATTTCTACCGGAATATGGATCATAGAATTCGGCAAAAAAGAGAGTAAAATTGGCCAAGGGAGTCCGTCCGCGGGGAGGTAGTTTTTTACCTCTGAAGCCAGTCAAAGTCCCAAGGCGGCCAAACTCCCCTGGCAAATATTCTCCTATATAGCCAGCGTAGTCGGTCTGGTAAAAGACTAGTTGTCCCCCCTGGCAGATTTACTGATGTGTGTAACTCTGATTTCTGAAAGTTCCTGACTTGGGCCTGTACAATGAGTCTAAAGCCTATGGATACTTCACTGAAGGATGGCTGTCCCCTGTTTCCTTCCACCCAATCTCACCAAATAGCCAATTCTGGTATCTGAGAGCAGAATGCAGACTTAATCGCAGTGATCTGCTAAAGGGGACACCTCAAGCGAAAGCTTCTTTTTTTTGGAGTGGTTCAATGCAAGGCCTATACAACCACTTCTCGGCATTGAACTAGAAATATGAGAGAAACATGGCCATGTCAAGAGATGGCGGTGAACGTTTGATTTGAAAGCCTGTAGATTGTAGGTTGGTGGGAAATACTTGTCAGGGAGGGAATTCCAATGCTTGGCCATATATACGGGGAAAGAAACTGTCACTGTAAAAAGATTAATTTTCGAACAAGGAATTTGAATGGTGAAGGTGTGCTTCGTTCAACTTTCAGGTTCTAGAACAGCATTCTATTCGAAATGTCCCCCCTGTGACGTAAGCAGTTCTAGCGATCCCTGAAAGGCAAACAGGTCTATAATTATAATGAACTTTTAACAATTCAATTTTTTATTTCCTTTCTTTCTTTCTTTTAGGGCATGTAAAGAGTACTGAGTATGCAAATTGGTGAGAAAATGGCAGGGAACATTGTCTGATTCAATCTAACACGTCTTGTTTGTGTTTGTTTGTTCCAGGCTGGAGGTGTTCAGCGTGCGTTCACACCCGATGATGAATCGGTGAACGGAAGCGATGACGAGGTCGGGGACTCGGAGCAGCCGCGGACCAGCCTCCCTCGCGTGATCGTGAAAAAGGGAGGGAACGTTGTACAAACCAGCAAAACTGCGCAGTCTGATAAAAACAAAGCAAGGTGAGCGATAGACTTTTCTTCTAAGGGTCAAATGTCAAAGGTCTTGGTACAAAGGTGAAGGGTCAAAGGTTTGTCAGTGAAAGTATGCAGTTTTGTAATAAGGCCACACTACGCCAAAAACAGTTACTCAAGCAACTGGATATGATTTTGAAAACGTCAGACGTTTCAGCTAGTATCCACTAGCTTTCGTCAGTGACTGAGAGACCAGAGGGGAAAGCAGGTTTATAAGCACAACCTGTTGATTGATATGCAAATAAAGTGAAGACAAATTTTTTTTGTCACTGACGAAAGCTAGTGGATACTAGCTGAAACGTCTGACGTTTTCAAAATCATATCCAGTTGCTTGAGTAACTGTTTTTGGCGTATCGTATTACCTGGATGTCTAACCTTCATCGACGTAAGGCCACACTAATCTAATTTGTTGGTTAACAGGTTTTTAAAAAAAAAACATTTCAGGCTCTGCATCAACTCCAAAATGCTCATATTTTGGCTCCAACAGTTGAAGGCACTCCCCTTCTCTTCTATCAATGCAGTGGATTGATTAAAAGTTCTATAATTATTCATTGTTTGAATTACATGTATACATGTATAAGCATTTGGGGTTATAGGATGCCTAGGACTTTTTTTTGCCCTGTCGCTTCATATTTTTCTGAAAAATCTGGGAACCAACAAATCAAATTGGTGTGGCCTAAGTATGGGTTGTAGGTTAGACATCAGGTTGGTGACTGGGAAGGAAGAACAGGTCAAAGGTGAAGGTCATGGTGTCAAAGTTCAAAGGTGAGAGCAGCAGGTGGAGGTAAGAAATGTCGTGACCAGATTCTGACTGATCTAACCGTTCCCGTGTTTCTCAGTTTTCTGTTCCGTTGCAGGAAGTGGGACACGACGCGGTCTCTGCGGTGGAACCAGGACGCTCAGCGGGAGGAGGACGCCATGAGGAACTCGGACATGGTCTCACAACTTGCCAAGATTCACTTTGGTACTCTGGAGAAAACCAAGTGAGTACCATGTAATATAGAATACATACATAATATTACTATAGAATATATTATAGAACCATGAATTGCATATTGCCGGAGGTATCGGCCCGAACGTGATCGCGAGAGGGCTGGGACCAAGGGCAATGCGGAATCCACCGTGTTGTATTTTATTTATATCATACCCATCCAGGGAAACATGCCTTTTAATTTGATGTCCCTAAACAAAAAAAATGCAACAACATAAATTCCAACATCAAAATCTTTTGAATTTTCAAAAGCGGCATACGCAGTTGGGGTGAAACGTGTTCAAATTATTCTATGGAAGCCATGAAGCCAAGTTAGGAGTATAAATCCCTATAACTATAAAATTGCAACATTATGTAACCCAACACCAGTTACCATGGTGAGAGACGTCAACAAATCAGGTCATTGTCCAGGTCAGAGATCTTTTAAACAGTCTTTTACTAACATCGCATTACAGGAAGGAGTATGCTGGTGGTATCTACTCCAAACTTGACGCACAATTCCGTAGTACGCTGCAGCCGTCCAAACCCACTGGCGTCGCTGCACCACTACGCACCCGACAGAGGCCTCCGCTGAGATAAATGGATTGTCCCCATTGTTTCAAGGGCTTGTTCATTCAGCACTCTAAAGGGGTGTATCACAAAAGAAACATTCCCAACAACTTTACAGTGTTTTTTTCCTTTCCACTTGAAATAATTTATTATTTCACTCCATACAATAGTATGTAGTCAAATATTGTTTTTTGTTAAAAAGGCTCACCTTTCCAATAATACACACCCCTTAGTAATAATAAATGGTTAGTCCCCAAAGATAAAAGTGTGTAACAAACAGAAAAAAGTGAATACAGGTACAGAAAAAGTACATGTACTGTCACTACCTCTGAAGTCCCAAATGTACCCAAGGTAAAAAAAAACATCATGTGTATTGTATATAATTGGCGTATTGTGAAATCATTGAGAAACTCTTTAAAACCTTTTCTTGTTGGTACGTCCAGGGTCTTGAAAACAGGTATTTGTGCAGAGACAAAGTTTATGTTATGGAACCAAAAACATGAGCCACCGATGAGATGCCAGCTTGTATGATAGTTTCTATGGAAACTTGCTTGAACAAACAAATGTAACCAATGGTAACCATTGTTAAAAAGGAATGTTACGCTTTTGTGATGGACAACTTTGTGCTTTCATAGTACAAATGTATAAGCACCAATTAAGAAGAAGAGGACCAACAATACATGTAGTTGTTGAATGTATATATTTGTAAATGTTGTTAGGAATACCTTAAAATATTCTGTAAGATATTTCATTATAAGCAAGTATATTGATCATCCAGTAAATACATATACATACAAACATATCAAAATGCTGCTTTCAAATATTCATGTATTCATTTATACATTGTACAGTATATGCTGTGAAACGTAAATGGTATTTGCGCACAAAGCCTGAGCAATGAAACTACACGATACAAGAAGAATCCGATTTTTCAGACCCCATGCTGCTAAGGTATCATGGATACCTTGTCTTTATGTAAAATGTACTCATTGTGTCGAGAACTGTACAGTTTTTGCTACCTGGGTGAAAAGCAAAGCATGATAAGGGAAGTTGTGTTGCTTTTTCATGTCCACGTCTCCATTGTGTACTATCTGTATGAGTTAGCCTCCATGACATCGTATTAAACATCAAAAGCAAAAGTGTTGCTATTTGTCTGTCTTACCTTTTCTGACCTGGTATTAGGTACATGACTTGTGTACTTAGTAGTTGGTACGTCCACACGTCCACACGTCCACACCATCTTAATTTGTTGTTTCTAGGATTTGCCCTGTCCATCTTTTTCTGATTTGCAAAAAAAACTTTATAGGTTCTGAATCAACTGCAAAATGCTCAATGAAAGACATATTTTGGCCCCAACGGTTGAAGAAAGTTCAAAACCAGCCTGGCATGTTGACTTCATGGGGTGCCTTGGCCTGTTTTTTTTTTTTTGCCCTGTCGCTTCATATTTTTCCGAAAAAAATCTGAGAAACAACAAATTAGATTGGTGTGGCCTTATGAAGGGTTTTAGTATACAAGTTACTGTTACAGTGAACAAGTTATTACCAACTGTTTCAGTCCTATTTATGAAGGCCACGCCAATTTGATTTGTTGGTTCCCAGTTGTTTTCAGAAAAAATATGAAGCAGAAGGAGAAAAAAAAATAAAAACAGACCAATCATGATAGCCCCAAATGAAATGATTGGAGCCATGAAGTCAACACACCAGGCTGGTTGTAATTCAAATATTAAATTTCAAACATTTAATCAAACCACTGCATTGATAGATGGAAAAACTGTAACAACTCTGAAGAAAAGGACTTCCTATAACTGTTGGGACCAAAATACTGTAGTATGAGCATTTTGGAGATGATTCAGAGGCTTTTTTTTTTGCAAATCAGAAAAATGAAGCGGGTGAATCCATAAACCAATAAATCCAATTGGTGTTGCCTTATGATGTCAAAATTTGAAAATGTAGGAATCTTGTGGGGTTTTTTTTGGCCCGCCTTTTTTTTCGCCACATTAGATTTGGAGTTAGCCGAGGAATCATCCATAACATTTCAGGAACAAGAAGATATGCCAGCCTGTTCCAGCCCTATTCATATAAGGCCACAGCAAGTAATTTTTAAGGATGACATCCGGCCGCGCATTGATTTTCGGCTGATTTTAGAAAAAAGACAGAAATTTTGTTGCCTTCTGACAGTGGTCACCATACCGTCAATGGGCAAAGATGTCTGTTGCCATGCCGGAAGGTGGATGACAGATAACTATGAAAAGAAAAGAACAAGAAAAGACTATGATTGAATGTTTTGTTTCTTACTTTGATGCAGTGATATGTGATGCTGGCTGTGTATATGTGATGTTCCCACTGAATCAAAACCATTTGTACAATAATTGAGTCAAAATTTTAAAATGTAGGAACCTTGTTTTTTTTCGGCCCGTCTTGTTTTTTTTCGCCCGCTCGCATTAGATTTGGAGTCTGCGGAGGATGTCATCCATAAAATTTACTTGCTGTGGCCTTACCTTAAAGTGGCCATCTGATATTGTAATGTTACATTGAGTAGGAATATTCTTTTGATGGATGAGAATTTCTGATTGTGTCACAAGATAAATGATACCTTCTATTTCATTTCACACTTTCTGTCAACTCTGCAGTACTATCCATAAAAGATTCAGAGATACCCGCTTGGTTCTTTGACACCCATAGAATCATGGACAAAAGATACAGTCTTCGACTTTTGAACAAAAGAAGCCGGAACATGCTTTGAAGTGACTTGAATGTATGAGTATAGGTACACTAGCTTTTGTCAAATTGACGCTCCTTTGCAAGAAGATAAAGTATATGTAGAATGTATTTTTACCATGTATTCCTTGTCATTTCAAGGATTTTAGTACTTTTGGATAAGAAGTGGAAAGTTCAGGACACTGCTGTTAGCATTTCAACTGTTCAAAAGTGTGTATAGCTGATACGTAAGCTGTATAGCCTGGAATCGAAATTGACTTTTGATTTTTAGCAAAACCATAGTACATAAGATTCCAGTAAGTTTCCCTCGGATTCAGAAAAGGTTGCGCATCCAATCCGATTTCAGTGCAGCAAAACTGGAAATATTCTGAATATGGCAATCTTTGTGATATTGACACATACTGCTTCACATTAGCACATTTGAGTCAGTATTTCATACTTTGGGCTTTTAAAACTGCAGAAACAAGCCCAAAGATGAGTCATTCATTTTCTGGCCGGTACTCTAAAAATCAGGCCATAGCAAGTAAATTTTATGGATGACATCCTCCGCAAACTCCAAATCTAATGCGATAGGGCGAAAAAGGCGGCCCAAAAAAGAAGATTCGTTCATTTTCAAATTTTGAGGTCATAAGCCTTGTTTAACAAGAATTGAAGTGACAAAACATGATACCACAACCAAACTGATCTTTTATTCTTGTATTCAACAGTATTACCTGTCCTTGTAGACGTGTAAACACCTCAATTACTAGAAATTCTAGCAAAACGGCTAATCGTACCATCCTGGGCAGCTACTATACTGGGTCTCCATGATCCCTGATAGTCTCCGAACAGATAGGCATTTACAATTGAACATACATTTGTATTTGCCCATTTTTGCCATGTTGACCACCGTCAGTGTGCAAAACAATTTCCTCTTTTTTTTTCCCAAATCAGGCGAAGATTAATGCACGCGCTGATGTCATCTATAAATATTACTTTCTGTGGCCTAAAAAACTAACGTTCCATAGAATCGCAACTCGCATAGCAGGTGCCATAGCGTGCGCGTCTTCAATTACACCTATTTGAACCGTGGTTGGGCCTCAAAGGAGGGCACTTTGATCCTACAAAATGGACTTTCGCCCCGGTAATTCTTGTCATTGTGTCGACCAAAAAGCCATTTTTACTAGCCACGGAATGAGAGAGTTGTTGCGGTATACAATATTCCTTTGTGAGTCACCTAGCCTGGTAACCAGACCACCGTGAGCTCAGCGCTATCCCTACGGCGCCGAGAGCGTTTTGGGGCCGCTAACCAGCCCTCAAGTACCGCGCTTCGGGGGCTTTTAGGTTTCTTCGTCAGCGGCAACAGAAGACAAAGCGTAATACAGGAAGTCAGCGGATACAGGGAAACCAGCTGGAGATAGGTCCGTGGTATAACTCGCCTGTGCTTTATGGTAAGGCCGGGGCCGAAAAATTACTGCCAAGCCGACCAAAGGTTTGGTACCCAGGCTACAATGTATGAGTCACCCGATACAAGATGCTTTTTTTACGACGCTATTGTGTTGCAAATGTGCATAATCAATCGGAAATTAACTAGCTTGCGTGACTAGGAAACACTTCTAACACCCGGCGTATGCCAGAGCCGCTTATTAATTATGCAAAAACAACTTCTTTACAAACCCCAAACACGCATGTAGAAACCAGAACACAAAAACCTTGCAACAATAGGCTTTCTCCTGGGCGTTAGGCCACAGCAAGTTATTTGTATGGGTGACATCAGCGCGCGCATTAATTTTCGTCTGATTTTGAAAAAATGAACAAGAAATTTTGTTGCCCTCTGACAGTGGTCAACATGCCGAAAATGGGCAAAGATGTCTGTTGCCATGCTGAAAGGTGGATGGCAGATAACTGTGAATAGAGGAGACAAGAAAAGACTCTGATTTGATGTTTTGTTTCTTACTTTGATGCAGCGATATGTAAAGTTGGCTGTGTACATGTGATGTTCCCACTGAATCAAAACCATTTGTACAATGATTGAGTCAAAATTTTAAAATGTAGGAACCCTGTTTTTTTTTCGGCCCGCCTTGGTTTTTTTCGCCCGCTCGCATTAGATTTGGAATCTGCGGAGGATGTCATCCATAAAATTTACTTGCTGTGGCCTAACCAAGTTCGCTGTCCGCATGCACAGATACGAGTCACGGGTATCAAAATCGTTTTTGGTTGTGTTCCATCACAAGTGTGTTATTAAAAGCTTTCTTTCATGATTTCTGATATGCAATTCCTTTGTTGTACGTTACCACATATACCGTTGCCAAAACCAACAAACGCAGACCGCAATGAATACTAATACTCATCATTTTGTTACTATAGTTATCTTTAATCACATAGCATTATATATGTGATGTCACTGTTAGAAAGAGTATAACAGTATGCGTGTAAACTTTAGCTAGCGAACGTATAAGCTTAGCTACCAGGTTGTACATGTATATATGACAAGATTAATAGGTGATCTGGCATTAGGTACATAAGACCGACGTTTTCTTTGTGTACTCTAGCATTACTTTGATGTCTTGTATGGCAAATCGCGTGACCTAATACGACGAGCGCCGGCCAGTGTATATAGGAACAGTGTACATGTATGAAGAAACGTTCTACTGACTTTTGCCAACACAGACGAAGCTAGTCCAACGAAACTGGTAAGTCGTTTTTAATTTTTTTTTCACTATCAAGTACCGGTACCGCAGAATCAAACATATATATTTAGTGATATTCCAACATGCTTTCTATTATAATTTAGCAAAGAATTGTACGATTTTAGGTGTAATTTTAAAATACAGATGTTCTTTTTATAATAGTTTAGCTCCACCATTGAAGAATTTGAGGTAAGGTAATTAGCAATGTCTAAATTGTTTTTTCAAATGAGGTAAATTTTAAATCTTCGTAAAGTAGTCTATATTACCAATCATCAACGTATTGAAACATATGATGGCGAAATATTAATTGTCAAACGCCATGAGTACTTTTTGAACTAAACAACCGCCATTCTTTGCCAGGTTGCTCACTATTTAATGTTAACACTACCGGTACTGTGTGGCTATATAATTGTGTGCATATTATCGGACAACATGACCAATTTACTCACACACAATATCGCATAGTTATAGCTCAAAAGCGTGCGAATGCCCAGTTTTTCTACCATGTCATGTCATAATTTAATGCCTTCGTAGATTTTCTTAGAAATCAATGATATGAATCTTTATTGCATGTTCTTGCCCAGATGGGCTAAATGCACAAATGTGACCAAATGTGGTCGAAAGGGTAAAAAAAAACATTGCATACTGAAACGCTATATTCTAATGCTAAGTGCTAGGAGACTATATATTACAACAATACTAAATACTACCTATCATCTACTGTTAGTTGCCCTTTCTTCTCTCTTTTTGAAACATTTGGAAACATAATTACATAGTTTGTCTACTGTACATTCGTTCTTGTATGACATCAAGTGTTTAAACATGTCCTGCTTTGACATTTTCTTATATATCTTGTCTAATTGTAAAGTATCTAATAGTTCTTGGCGTTCATCTTCATATGATTTTATCATTTTTATAGAACGGGAAATATGGAATATGATTTTGGGATGGTGTTATAAGTTCAAAATGATATGATAAATGGTAATGACCGTCTGATGAACTTTACAACAATTAAAAAACATCAACCTGTCAATGACAAAATATACGACTACATTTATCTGTGTCTAAGATACGATTTTCACATCAATAAATGCCCTTAAACATTATATAAAGATATGATATGAATCTTTATTGCGTGTTCTTGCCCAGATGGGCTAAATGCACAAGAGGATATCCAGTATGTAAACATTGGTATTTCATACTGGTACGCAATAGTCTAATGCTAAGTGCTAGGAATCTATACATTACAACAATACTATATACTACCTATCATCTACTGTTAGTTGCCCTTTCTTCTCTCTTTTTGAAACATTTGGAAAATATGATAAAATATAATAATATCAGGCTATCGACATAGTAAGCAATTTTCTAAAACAAAAGACGAACTCACGTTAACAATGGGTACATAGGAGAACTAAACTAGTTATAGTGATTTTATGAGATATGCCTTTATTCTTTATTTCATATCTATTTTCAGACGAGTTTTCTTCAGAACCTATTCAAAGTCCCTTTAACAACCTAAGTATCAGGTGACAGCAGTTAAGGATTCTTTATAGAAAAGACTTTTGTCTACGCATTTCTATTAACGTATTAAAATGCACGTGTGTGATATACACTGGGATCTAGATGTGTTGTTATCTAGATGTATTGTTATTAACGTGCAATGTGATAGCTTGGATACCGGACTTTTTATTTGAAGGAAAAAATATTGAACGAAGTCGATGAAGCTTACACATCCATTTATATTTCTGCACAAGTTCTCTAGTGTCACTGACAAAAGCTAGTGGATTCTTCCTGAAACGTCTGACCGTTTCCAAAATCATAGCAAGTTGCTTGAGTAAATGTTTTTGGCGTATCTTATTACCTGGATGTCTAACCTTCACCGACGTTTCCAGGCACATTATAAATCATATATATATATATATATATATATATATATATATATATATATATATATATATATATATATATATATATATATATATACGAAATAAATCAAATAAGTTGATAAGGTTTCTATTAGTCTTTCAAGCAGTTGTCTAAAATGTCTGACTCTGAGGCCTTATACAGCTGTTTTGAAAGCGAGAATGGCTGACAAAATACGTTTCTTTTAGACTGAATGGCTGACAGAGACACAGTAAAGTAACATACGACAATCAGAAAATAGCTCATGATAAGCCTTAAAAAAGAGAATCCAGCCACGAAATCTGCTCTAGAGGCCACCTCTACCGCCATGAGACCTTGGCCTGATCAACGTTACGTTGCCTAGCAACGCCATATTTTGAGAGACACGTTGATATCGTCAGGTCTGACCTATGGAAGTACAGTTTAAGTACCACACAATACCCCTGCCTCTCCGTGTTACTGTAAAATCACTCATGCGTGATTTTAGTACCGGATGTGAAGATACAATTTATACCGCTAGAAAGGTAACATTTGGAAAGCTAATGCATAATGTTTAACTACGCGTATGGTATGCTTTGTTAATTGATATGTTGATATATATGGTCAGACAGGAGTATAAATCCCTCCTACTATAAAATTGCAACATTATGTAACCCAACACCAGTTACCATGGTGAGAGACGTCAACAAACCAGGTCAGGAAAAAGAGGAAACGTAGGAATTTTTTTTCCTTCGGTAAACATAATAAATAAACATTATTTCAATCTCTATATCAAAGATATCCATTACGATTCTTTCACAGGCGTTTTTACACATGTAAAGAGATAGGGCATAGTTTACCATTGCGCCGTAGAGGGGGTTTATGTATAATGGTGATTGACGGCTTATCATGGGGAACGTGACGTCATCAAGTTGATGCTATTGACAGAACGTCACCCTGAACTTTTAGATGACTTTCTCAAATCTTAAGACTTTCTAAGAGAGTGTCATCATTATTAGCATGAAGATGAAGCTTTGTTATGTTTACCGAAGGAAAACATATTGTTTTTGCTCAGTTTCTTCTTCCTCCTCTTCTTCCTCTTCTTCTCCAATTTCCAAACAGTGACCTCTAACCTGAACCAATGTTGTGTCTGTTGCCATGGTAACTGGTTTTGGGTTACATCATGTTGCAATTTTATAGCAGGACGGATTTAGACTCCTGAGTCCTGTCCCCATATATGAATGTGTTTGAGTAAGAACTAACAGAGCAGACCATATGCGAAGGTAAACATTATGCATTTGCCTGGCAAATGTTACCTTTTAGTTTAAACATTAGAACGTGAATATTGCTGTATCCAAGTCACAAAACTGAATCTGAAATACATCACGTGACTTTGATTGACATCGTGGATGATTGGCCAGGTCATGGACATGACCTTTCCGTCGCATGGGATCATGGGATAGTGTTTGTGTACATGTCTCCTTGGCAACCACCTGCTGTCGTCGCTTGACTTGGAGAGTATAGAAAAGTGTGTTATTAAGCTGGGCCCTTCAATTCCACGAATAACCACAGTCTTTAGTTTTCACTCAAAGGTAAAGCAGGTCGAACACGGAGCGTATTGCTTGGTCGAGTCGAGGCTAAGCGTAACTGCATCTGTATTTGAATCAGTGGAGCTTGCATGTATTTGCAATAAACTTTCAATTATTGTATAATCAGTAGAAAAGTTGTCTAGCAGAGTGCTAAAAGTTTATTATTCTTTGGTGTACAGATATATTCAAAGTGGTAGTTTAAAAAAGCAACTCTACGCTCTACGCTTCTTTGTAAAACACAAATAAAGTTCGTACTAAAGTCGCGTAAGATACGATAAAAGTACGCCAACCTCTTCGTATATGTCCCTGAGAAAAGGACGATCCTTGAAAAAATTGGCTTTTGTTTATTTTTTTTATATTCCAACATTTCATGACTAAACATGGTGACGACACCCTTAAGTGTTTTTTTTTTTTTTCAATTTATTTTCTGCCGCCACCAACGCAAAGGACAAATACAGGGCCGGACAATACTCATTTTGACTCGAGCTAAGTGAAAATGGCCTTTCTCAAGGGCACAAGATCGGTGGCATGTCGGGACTCGAGCCGGGAACCTCTTGGTTACGAGCACCCTGTCGTTACGCCACACGACCCTACATAACTTGCTTGTATTTCTTCATTTTAGATACCATTCGCGTTTCTTTGTTGTCGCACTAATTCCAAGGTTCTAGGTTACATATTATGTAACATGGTGAAATTATTTCATAATTCCTTTGTACTCGTATCCATTTGCCTGATGGTAGCCAGTGTATGTTTTGTTGCTAAGGAATTCAGAATTTCGCCTCGTAACTTCTCCAGGGGTTTCACAAAGTTACATTAATCAAAACATCAAGCTGACATGTTACTTTATGTCTTTTGAATAATTGAAGTTCTTCTTTTCCTCAGGGGATCTTTTCTTTTGTCCATTCGTCACAAGGGAGGGCCAAAGGCTGCGATTTCTCAACTGTAGGAACATCGCTGGATAGTCAATAATTGAGCGAAAATTGGCCAACCTCACGCTCTCCCTGGTTTGTTATTGCCATGACAACCGTTATGGAGACGCCGAAAATCGTCCAATTACACGAGGACTTTTATTCGGGGACGGAGTACCGGAGGTTGCAGAGTCAGACGGCACAGTACCAAAAGAACATCGGTGATCTCAAAGAGAAAATCAAACAACTTGAAAAGAAGAACAAGCAGTGGAAGCTGAAGGTAGAAGACATCGCGGAGGAGAAGAAGAAGATCGCCATGTCTACAAGGAGGAACAGCCGGGCGTTCGAAGACGTCAGTCACCGTCTTGCGGTGATGACAAGGAGACTGGAGGATTCTAAGAAACAAGAAAGCACGGCGGTCAGACTGGCGGATGAAGCAAAGGACGAAGCTAAGACTTTGAAAGGTTGGATTTGGTCATTATATTTCAGTTCATACCATAGGTATGGTTGAAATATATTGTTTTCCCTAGTGTTTCTTCTTCTTCTCCTGCCATTTCGTTAAATAGATTTAATGTCTTCTTCATTTTTTGTCCAACTGACACGAAATTTGGCATGAAGGTAGAGTAGCCAAATACAACGAGATTTTCTTTAGATACATGATTTCAAAATTGTTTTATTTGTTGTTTTTTGCCATTTTCAGGGAAAAAATCAGCCTGTGTAGCCACTTCTTTAAATATATTTTTCCTATCAGAGTCTTGTAGAGACTAATTTTTGCCGTATACTAAAAGTCAAGTGTTTCTAATCTCAACAAATGTATATTATAATTTACGAGCTTAAGGGTTAGGATAGAAGAGGCTTGGTTATTTTTGCCCTCGAGCGCAAGTGATGGTATGGGGCCGGCTAGCTACTGAATATCTAACATACGGACTTCCACATGTTGTGCAGTCCACACAGTCCCTGAGGTTCTTTGAGAGCGGTCTGTACGAATTTCTCCATCAGTAGTACACTAGCACTTGTGCATTAGGGTTGTCTGTTTTTAAATAATTGTATATTGTAACTGTTATATGTTGCATGTTGTAGATATTGTGTAGTGACTGTGCCAAGTATTGAATGTATGTATTGTATGTATTTGTGTGAATGAATGCCAGGAAGACTAGGGTTATTCTGAATAAAGTTTCAAAGTTTCAACACTGGAGCTAAAATTTAAGCTGATTTTCTAATTGACTTAAAAGTATGGTATTCGTTCTTAATATTTCTTCCTTTTTTCTTTTAGTAACTCTTCAGAAAATTCAGCGGGAGAAAGACATCCTGGAGAGAGACAAGGAGAGCACAGTGCGCGAACGCGACTCGGCCGCGTCGCAGTACGTGACTCTGGAGAAAAACTTCTCGGAACTCAAGAAAGAAAACGACAGTCTGAAATCCGCCAAGAACCGCGCTCTCCAAGACAAAGACATGATCGAGCAGGAAAGAGACACCTACAAATCCAAGGCAGAGATCCTGGAAAAGAAGCAGAAAGAATTAATGAAGGAAAAAATTGCACTGGAAGATGATATGGGCGTGATTGTGAGAGAAGCGCAGAGAGGGAAGGATAGTCTGGAACTCGAGAAAGAACGCCTGATGGAGGAAAATAAGGCTCTAAAACTTCGAGCAGAGCGAGCCGAGAGAAAGATAGATGAAAGTCTCAGCAACCACGTAGAGCTTGAACGTGAGCATGAATATCTCCTCCTACAGAACGAGCAAGCGCTGGAGGAAAGAGACATCGAGAGAACCAGAACAGCACATCTTTCGAAGCTCCTGGAGAAGATAAGACGAGAGAAGGCTTGGGCCATGGAGCGGCTGGAGATCGCCATGATGGACCTCCAGATGTCGTCCGTGCACTACCAACAGCAGTCGGTAGGGGTCATGTGTGATCTAGCCGAGGAGAGGCCTAGTTCAAAGAACAGGGGTACCCAGACTACCTTCCGCGCGTGCGTCTTTTGTTTTCGGAACACGAACAACATCAACGGCCGGGGTGACCTGCAGAGAGAAAAGGAGCCCAAACCGACGGTCAAGTCCAAAATCCCGCTCAAAGTCGAAGCCACAAAGACCCAGAGCGAACCTGACCTGGTCAAGTCGCAAACAACGATGACGTCAGACGACAACTACGCATCTTTTAATGACGACATGACATCGAGTACGTCACAGGTAACTTTGCCTGGGCGTTGGATTTGGGTGCCTGAATTTGGCTTTCATACACACGAAGTCATACAGAGATATGTCAAACCCAAAACAGCGAGTTTTGAAAATTATAAGAGCCAAAACAAGATTTTGTAATAGTGCACTGCTTTGTCAAAATGTTAACACAAGCTTTTAATCGTTCCTACTTATATAATCTAATCGTAATCTATTTCGAATATTGGCTAAAATCCTTTGAAAATGATATTCTGTCTGCCACAAATTTAATATCTCGCGTTATTAGAAACTTAAACATGCTAGGGTCTACACAATGCCAGTAGTATAGGTCACAGTAGAACTCTTCATAGCTAGCATTGACTACTTACAACTGTCTCCGCCCCTGGAGTGTCGCCAAAAAACAATTTCAAAAGCTATAGTCCACTGAAACAACAGCAGTTTATAAGCTGTATTAGTCAACAAATGGGTGTACATACATACGCACATTTATGTATGAGAGAATGAAACGCTTACTGAAACGCACAATTTTCTATAACATATCACCAAAAAAAAATTCAGAGCACTAGTATTCTTAATTGAAGCTATTATATAATTTTTTTCACTCTTCACAAAAGCATGCAGTTTAATTTCTTGGCACATTCATTTTGCATGTTTTGCACATTTTTTTGCAGAACAAATCGACGACGACGACGAAACGACCGCCTCGACGAGCGAACTCTTCCCAATAGACAGACCGTCCGGACGGAGGAATAGATACCTGGAGGACATCCTTCGTATCTACACTCTAGACTGACGACAGCTAACGTTACACAAAGTGTAGCCTCTTCCAGGCTTCGGGAGGCGGCTGGAAAGAGTAGAAATCGGACAGATAGAGAAATAGCATGCCAAGGAAGTTGGTCTGCTGGAGAGAACAGTTTGCCGCTTCCTCGGCTTGCTATATCTCTCTATTTGGCCGATTTCTACTCTTTCTACTCTAACCTCAGGCTTCGGGAGGTGGCTGGAAAGAGTAGAAACTGGTCAAATATAGAGATGACATGCCGGGGGAGTTTGACCGCTAGAAGAGTACAGTATGCCGCTAAAAACTGAACTGTACCGTCTTCTAGGGGACCAACTGCCCTGGCATGTTATCTCTCTATTTGACCACTTTCTACTCTTTCCAGCCGCCTCCCGAAGCCTGGTAGAGGCTACACTGAATGACTAGACATTCTGACAGCTGTACATTTGTATTTAAAGACTGGCCAGCAACGTGAACAAGCTAATAAATAAAACCCAGAGGCCTACGTTTGACACATTCATTTTGCATGTTGCACGCGTATTGTCTAACACAGGACAAGCTTACGACAGAGTGACGACAAATACGACAAGTGACGACCTTTTTGAAATAACGTCAACTGGACAACGGGTCTGGTCTAGTGAATATGTAACACAATTCTTAATGGACGATTTCTGGACTACAGAATTTCAGATGCCTCGAAAGATGGACTGTATAGAAATTAGCTGGATGTTACTCAAACATAGATATCATGTACATAGTGGATACTAGCTGAAACGTCTGACGTTTTCAAAATCATATCCAGTTTCTTGAGTAACTGCTCTTTGGCGCATAGATACCATGGTATGATTTTCTAGACATGTACTATAAGCAGCATGTATAATACGTCTATCTTGATGTTACTTTTTATAGTCTTGCAAGAGGTTAAATAGAACTCTCTTTTCTTCAATAGAGCTGTCTATTATATATAGATATGTACTAAGTAATTTTATAACATTGTTCCGTACATTAAAAGTAGGATCGATTTTTAAAAAATATTGGCTAAACTATACCTTCTAAAAAGGATATATATATATTAGAAGCTCTATTGTAGATAGATATTCTTTAATAAATACTTAATAAAAAATTACTCATGGTAAGGGCTAATAACGTGAATTGATAATGCTCATGTAAAAGAAAGAATATATGATATTACGATGTGAACATAGTCATCAAAGCTACAAGATATAAAAATGTAATTGAAAGTATCATACAAATGTATGTAATATAGCAACAAAGATGTTGCATAACTACAAGAGTAAAGAATGTGGCGATGTGAAGTTGTATATGTTATTGACAATAAATCTCTTTAAAGGCATCCAATGCAGTTTTTAGGGTTTGGAAACCCAATTTTCCAAGCCCAAATATTCTAGTTATTCATCTACATACTGAGTTGAAACCACACTATCCCAGTGTATTTTGACCCTCATGGAGCAAAAATTCCCAGAATTCTGACGGAACATGGTTACTGGAAGGGCCCTGTGCTCAGTTTAGGGTGCCACCCAGAAAATAAAGAACTAATCTTGGGGCTTGTTTCTGCTGTTTTAAATACCTAAAGTATAAAATCCTGACTCAAATGTGCTAATGTGAAGCAGTATGTGTCAATATCACAAAGATTGCCTTATTCAGAATATTTCCAGTTTTGCTGCTCTGAATTCGTAGTGGATGCGTTTAAAATACTGCACGTATAAAATTGTATTAAAAAAAAATACAAAATGACAAATGGGCAACTAAACCTGCGGTAAAAAAAAAGGTCCACCTTAACACACCTAAACTGTATCTAGGGAATTCTACGTTCCTACATAAAGACATTTTGTCCATTCTAAGAAGCCACTAGACATGTGAATTATTAATGACAACAGGAAAACGTTGTTTGAGATAAAAGGTAAAGCATGGCCATTATGGATCATTTGGCCCGGGAAAATCACTTAATTATAGATAATTTGACACAGATATTGATTTATTTCTGTCTCGTGTGATTTTGTCAAATGACGAAGACAATTGATGAAAAACAGACACTAACATGAAAGATTTGAACTTTTATTATATATATTGACAATGTAAGGATGTCCATAGACTTGTATTGTATAAAGGTTTGAACTTTTCTTAATCTTGACAATGTAAGAATATCCAGACATAGTCCTGTATTATATAGAACATTTGAACTTTTTGTAACCTTAACAATGTAAAGGAAACCCTTACCATATATCCTTATACCCTTGCATTTAATCTTAAGTAATAATCTGCAAATATTGCATGAATATTGGTAATATTTCATGTCATTTCTATGCATGTTTTCATAGCCACTGTATCTTGTAGATTTTATACATTGACATATATTGACATTGTATCTCTCTGACGTTTTGATGGAGTGTATATATTACACTTAAGTAATGTATCAAATCCAGTTAAATGAAATATAGTACATACCATTTATGAAAAAAAATGTTTCACATACATATATGTTATCATTCAAAACTCAAATTACAATTCAAATCCATCTGTAAATAAAGTGTATGCCTAAACAAATTTGCACTGACATATACCTGGTTCAAGCAGAAGAGAAAAGGGAATGTTACAACCATGCCCCCTAGTGATTCCGTTACACAATGCAAGGTGGCAGGACTTCCAACTATACAAGTCATAGACGTACACAAACTATAGGACTTCTTAATAACAGAAGCTGTCTCCTAATATCCAGAGTCTTCCTAAGAAATATGACATGTAGGGATTGGTACAATTTTCACATTTTTTAAAAGTTTTGAACTGAATCTATTTATTTATTTATTTTAATGACACCTGGGTATCTCCTTCAGCCAATAGCTGATTTCCAAGGAGGCCCAGGGGGGTACAATATGTAAAAGAATAATACATTATATAAAGTACATAACAAAAAATGTAAATGAAATCAGTATAACTAAAAGTTATACATAAATAAATGAATAATACGAACATGAACTGACGAAATTTACAAGAATCATAACTTCAAAACATAATCATAATCAACGTATTCAAATGTCAGACTCTACACAATCAACCAACCAACCGACTACTGAAGTCATAAGGTACATATTATTCATTTTACTAATTCTGAATTTTGGGTCTAGCTGCAAATTACAGGCGTTTTTATGTTTTATTTCTACAGGGTTTCTACATTTGGGTGCGGAGATCTTACCTTTAGTATTGAACTAAGACTGACCCTGCTCAGGCTGATCATGACCGTTGGTCATCACAGTAGCTGTTTTGTACAGAGTATTTAGTTTCAATGCAGATTTCTAGCATCGAGGGATTCAGTGATGGCCTCATACTGACCCTGCCCTGTCTGGTCATTATCACTGGTCATTACAGTTGCTGTTTTGCACAGAGTATTTAGCTTCAATGGCCCTCTGCCATAAGTAAGATTTCTAGCGTCGAGGGATTCAATGATGGCCTCATACTGGCCCTGTCCTGTCTGATTATTATCACTGGTCATTACAATTGCTGTGTTGTACACAGAATTTAGCTGCGAGGCAGTCGGCCCTGTGCCATAAGATAGATTTCTAGCATCGAAGGATTCAGCAATGGCCTGATACGGACCCTGCCCTTTCTGGTCATGACAACTCATTGCTACAGCTGTGTTTGTGATGGTCTGAGACTGGGTCACATCTTTGTACACAGAATTCTGCTGCGAGGCAGTCGGCCCTGTGCCATAAGATAGATTTCTAGTATCCATGGATTCAGCGATGGCCTCATACTGACCATGCCCTGTCTGATCATGACCACTCGTCATTGCTACAGCTGTGTTTGTGATGGTCTGAGACTGGGTCACATCTTTGTACACAGAATTCTGCTGCGAGGCAGTCGGCCCTGTGCCATAAGATAGATTTCTAGTATCCATGGATTCAGCGATGGCCTCATACTGACCCTGCCCTGTCTGATCATGACCACTCGTCATTGCTTAGTAACAACCGTTTCTGTAATGACTTGAGACTGGGTCACATCTTTGTATACAGAATTCTGCTGCGAGGCAGTCGGCCCTGTGCCATAAGATAGATTTCTAGTATCCATGGATTCAGCGATGGCTTCATACTGACCCTGCCCTGTCTGATCATGACCACTCGCCATTACGACAGCTGTGTCTGTAATGACTTGAGACTGGGTCACATCTTTGTATACAGAATTCTGCTGTGAGGCAGTCGCCCCTGTGCCATAAGATAGATTTCTAACATCCAACGATTCAGTAGTGGCCTGAGACTGGCCCTGCCCTGTCTGATCATCACCACTGGCCACTACAGTAGCTGTGGTGTTTGTGTTGGATTTAGTGATAGCCTGAGACTGACCCTGTGCTCTTTTAACACGAGGTTTGTCAATATCCTCATACTGGTGATCATCACCACTGGCCACTACAGTAGCTGTGGTGTTTGTGTTGGATTCAGTGATAGCCTGAGACTGACCGTGTGCTCTTTTAACACGAGGTTTGTCAATATCTTCATACAGGTGATAATCGCCACTAGACATTAAAGTAGCTGTGGTGTTTGTGTTGGATTCAGTGATAGCCTGAGACTGAACCTGCCCTCTCTGATCATGACCACCGGCCATTACAAAGACTGCTGTGTTTGTGATGCCCGCAATAACACCGGGATTCAGCCCTAATGGAGTATTTTTGCTCCTCGTCTTGTTCCAAATTACAGCCAAGAAGGTTCCAATCAGAGCAGTACCAGCAAGTGAACCACAGATAGAGCCAATGAGAACATTTAGGGGAGAACTGGGAGCAGATTCTGGTTTGTCTGAAGTGATTCCAAGGGGTGAAGTTAGTGCAGGGCCTGGTGTTGAGTCAGGATCTGACATTGGGGCAGCATTACACTTGAAGTACCAGTTATAGTGAGAGTTACGAATGATTTTTTTGCTTGTGCTTTCTACTGGGTTTGCTTTTGAGCCAGGAGTGTGGTTAAAGACTGATGGGCTAGTATTGCTTTCTGTGTTACCAACTGAAGGTGTTGACACTTCAGTAGAACAGCTATTAACAGTTAGTGGTGAGATGGTTGGATCTTTACATATAAATTCTTTAGGATCGATTTTTTGAAGCTTCTGTCCCTTAACTCTGGCGGGTTGGGCACATATCGTTTTGGAAAATCCAGGATGTAGTCTGAATGGAACCATCCCACAGTCACATCTCCAGGGGTTCCCCTCGAAAAGTATTTCATGTTTATCTGTACGTGAGAACAAGCAGACTAATGACAGGGGAATGGCTGACATATTGTTCTTCTGAAGATTCAAACGTTTATATGTACGTTTATTTACGGGCTGTTTTGCAAATGTACCAGAATGGATTTTAATTACCTGGTTGTTGTGCAGGCAAAACTTGCCTAGCTGGGCCAGATTTGTACCAGTCTGAGAAGAATGAATGGCAGTTATCTCGTCGTAGTGGAGGCACAATTCTTGTTGCTGGTTCAGATTTGCAAATGCACCAGAATCAATGCTAGTTATCTGGTTGTTGAACAGGGACAACCATTTTTTATTTTTTATTTTTTTTATTTTTTATTTTTTATTTTTTTATTCAACAAAATAACTGTACATAATACAAAAGTAAACTGAAAAGCCAAGACGGCTTGTACAAATAGAAAATAACATAAAGAACGGAAAAGCGGACAACCATTTTAGCTGGGGCAGATTTCCAAATGTACCAGAATCGATGGTAGTTAGATTGTTTTTGCCCAGATTCAAGCTTTGTAGCTGGGACAGTTTTGAAATTGTACCAGAATCAATGCTAGTTATCTCGTTATTGACCAGGGACAACCGTGTTAGCTGGGGCAGATTTCCAAATGTACCAGAATCGATGGTAGTTAAATTGTTTTTGCCCAGATCCAAGGTTTGTAGCTGGGACAGTTTTGAAAGTGTACCAGAATCAATGCTAGTTATCTGGTTGTTGAACAGGGACAAAGATTTTAGCTGGGGCAGATTTGCAAATGTACCAGAATGGATGGTACTTATCTGGTTGTCATTAAGGAACAAATTGTTTAACCGGGGAAGATTTGCAAATGCACCGGAATCAATGCTAGTTATCTGGTTGTTGACCAGGATCAACTGTCTTAGCTGGGACAGATTTCCAAATGTACCAGAATAGATGGTAGTTATCTGGTTCCTGGACAGTTGCAACACTAGTAGCTGGGTGAGATTTGCAAATGTACCAGAATCGATGGTAGTTATCTGGTTGTATGACAGCCCCAACTCTTTTAGCTCCCGTAGATTTGAAAATGCGCCAGCTTCAATCTTTGTTATCTGATTGAAATCTAGGCACAAGATAAGCAAATCCTTATACTTTGACAGCTCATACTGCTTTACAGTTTTAATTTGGTTATGTGGTAAAATTAACTTAGAAATGGATGTTGAGAGGTCGTCAGGGATGCTGGTGAGGCCCTTTCTGCAGAGTGATGATGGTTTGCAGTTTCTGCAGTCAGAAAGAGGGAGCCCATCTTCTTGCATGCTGGGTTCCTTCAGGATGATGAGAAGGAAAATCAGCACACGTCTCAGTTTTCTCTCCATTGTGTCCTGCCACCTGAACAGAACGGGAAGCTCCTCAGTAAGGCCACTCCAATTTTATCTTGAACCTCAAATTTTTAAGAAAAAAAAATGATTAAAAACTTGAATATAAACATAAAGTCCCAGGCTAAACTCTTGGCTTTTACAGGAGAAGAATTTTGTTTTTGTTTTGCCCTCTTGCTAAATTCTGAATTATTCCATAATATAATATATATGAAAAAATTAATTTGGAGTGACCTTAGAAAATCAATGATTTTGCGGCATTTTACGGTTAGGCTAGCGTTGTTGACGTAGGTTCTGGGTTCGAGTCCACGGTAAGAGGATATATAAATATGTGTGTGTGTGTGTGTGTGTGTGTGTGTGTGTGTGTGTGTGTGTAGCGCATTACAAATCACAGTGGTGCTATCCTGTAGGTATGCTGGGGTGTTCTGGTAGATATTTCGCCCTGTGCAGCTCATCAGTCTTAACAATTGTCCCAGTGGACTGTCGGGCACAGGGAGGGGTACTGCCGGTGTTATCACCATTAGGTTACGGCGTATTTTACATTTCTCGCTGGGACCCGTGTTGATGATAACTCCCGGTGATGAAAAACCCGCGCCCCTATCCGTCACGTCAGCCGCGCCCGAAAATACAGAAAACAGCCCGTAAACTATCCGGCGGGGCCCCTGTTGCCAGTTGTTATGTACCTGTTAATTGTCTGAGGCTTGCTGCTTGAATATTGATATTATACCCCTGCTTTTGATCCTGTTTGGACCTCCCAGGCAAGGAAATCAGCAGAAGAGTCGCAAATTGTACACTTTTCTTAAGAAGATAAGGAATCATATATCTTCAGGAACATTTGTATTATGTTTTATGAGCAGCGGATTTACATAAGCACAACAAGTGCTTCCTATCCAATGCTCAAAAATCCATGTGAATAAAATAAAATAATCATATTTCTGAAATGTCATTAAGCTTATAGGACTGTGTTGCTTTAATATATATATGTGCACTCTGCTGCAAGTATAGAACATCTCCTGATAAATGTAAACCGATAAGATGTGTTACCGTGTTCATTTTGTAAAGTTTTGTGATGGCAAAATGGTCGTAAAAATTATTTATGAACAGTTGAACAGACTGTGGCTCAGCAGTGTCATTATGGTTTATCTGTAGTTCTAGTTCCAGCAAAAATTGTACCAATAGTCATCAAATAAATAAATAAAACTGTCATGGCCCGGCATCCCCTGTTCCCCACGTTAAAATCAACCAAATTTCCAAGAAAATAAGATGGAAATTTTTTAACATTTTCTGACAGCTATCTACCAAGAAACAACCAATCTTCCACCGTCACATCTACATTGAAAATTAAAATTCGATTGCCAGCCTAGTCTATGGGCGTAGGCCAGTGACAAACCACCTACAATAAATTTACCTTTAATTTACTGTTCATTCACGCGCAGGTACATACCTTCCAAGTAGTCAGAATTGCTTCAGTTGACACTTTGTTTGACAGGATCTCGTGCACAGGTTGTTGTTCTTCTGAAATTTTGTGTCAGGCTTCTTTGGTTGTTTATCCGCAATGCAGTGTGACAAACAACCTAGGATTGGTCTTACGTAACTAGTGGAGTTAATTGTCTGAAGCTAGCTATTTGAATAACATTAATATCTATGATTATGATAAAAATTCTAATCGTGATGCAGGTCCAGAGATGCATATTTTACGGTGGCCCGTAAGTACAGCCCTGCGTGTCTGTGCGAATACCTTCCATGTCTGCGCGGATACCTTCCTCGTCTGCGCGAATACCTTCCACATCTGCGTGAATACCTTTCACGTCTGCACGAATACCTTCCACATCTGCGCGAATACCTCCCTCGTCTGCACAGAAAGACTTCCTCGTCTGCGCGAATACCTTCCACGTCTGCACGAATACCTTCCACGTCTGCGCGAATACCTTCTTCGTCTAAACATAACCGTATTAAACCGTAATAAAGGTATTCGTGCAGACGTGGAAGGTATTCGTGCAGTCGTGGAAGGTATTCGCGCAGACGTGGAAGGTATTCGCGCAGACACGTAGGGCTGTACTTACGGGCCACCGTACATATTTACTTGTTTTCGTCACCAGGTTACGGATTACCAAGCCACTACTTTTAAAATGTATCTGATTGGTAACTTGTATACTAGTATTTGAAAGTTTCTGCATTGAAGCATGAAAATTATATAATAAATTTTAGAATGTTTCATACTTTGATTGTCCATACTTTGAACGGGAAAGTAAAACATTCACAGTGCCTTCACTTATTCTATTTTAAATCAGCTCATGAAAACGTGCAATGGTTTTTCTCTCATTATTTTATGCTAAAAAGTTGCTGTAGTTGATGTACATATGCAAAACCCACTCATAAACATAGTACTATAGTATTAAACATGAAATTGATTGAGGTGACCAACAGCAAAAAGATCGCTTAAAAGATACCAAAGTTTTTCAAAACTTGGTTCATTCACTCCTTGTAAAAGATCATCTGATGATCGAATTTTGATAAGTCCTGCAATTTCAGGGATAACGATTCAAAACCATATATGAAGTGTATGCCTTAACACAGTGCCATGTACTGACACAACCTTGCACAGGTGGTTAACAAAGGGTGCAGCTATGCCCCCTAGTGTCTGACATAGACAATGCAGGCTGGCAGGACTTCCTAGTGCACAGCAGTAAGTTACTGATAACTTTGATTACTACTGATGTTTCTACTGTGGCTTGTACAGACTGTACAATCATATATTTGTATAAAGTGTGTGTGTATTATAGCAAGGAGGTTGAACCTCCTTGATCATTCATAGTACATACAAATAAAGAACAAGCAAAATGAGACTTGGTTTTCCATAAAGCTTTATTTACTGCAGTGACCTGCAGCAGCTTACAAGATTTCTTTTCAATATTCACACACGTACATGTATGCTAACAAATGACTGAGCACACTCTTTCTTAATCTTATAATCATTTACTTTACATATACATGTACTTTTCTTTGTAGCAAACTCTAACAGTGAGAGTCACAACAATTTGGATACTAGAGGTACAGACCAGAATGCCAATAATCTTTTATGTATGATAATACAGAAAATACAGTTGAATGTTGTCATAAGATGATCTAATCACCAGTTGTAACTACAAAGACATGAGTTCCCATCTGCAGAACACCCCTAGATTGGAATAGAACAGTCCTGGTTTTCTCTTGATATCTGGAGCATTCTTGACCAGTCCACTGCCAGAATAGGGGTGTTGTTGATCATTGATCAGTGTATCATACCATATGTGTTATTAAAATGTTTTGATGTACCATCAAAGGAAAATACAGACGAATGTGGTCATCAGTCACTCTTATCACTGGTTGTTACTACAAAGACACAAGTTCCCAGCTGCAGAACACCCCTAGATTGGAATAGAACAGTCCTGGTTTTCTCTTGAGATCTGGAGCATTCTTGACCAATCCACTGCCAGAATAGGGGTGTTGTTGATCATCGTAAACTTGGGATGGATGGAGTTCGTTAATGGTGTCCGTGGTCGTCACTTCTGAAGAAAGCCTTCTCCACCGCCAGAGCGACCACGAATGCGGCGAATCCGTACTTGAAGCCGCGGAACGCAATCATGGGGAAGGTGATTCTGGGTAAATGGGTGAACCTCCAGGCTTCATTCCTAAGGAAAACAATTCACAATTTTAGCATGAAAGTTAATCTGTGTTGGTATACTTCATTATGGCAAAATGGGCAAAACTTTCAACACTGAGTAATCGGCCGAATTTGGGTAAGGCCACAGCAAGTAATTTTTATGGATGACATCTGCGCGTGCATTAATTTTCAGAAATTTTGTTCCCTCTGACAGTGGTCATTGGTCAACATGCCAAAAATGGGCAAATGTCTTTTGCCATGTCGGAACGTGAATACAGATAACTATGAAGAGAGGACACAATAAAAGGCTCTGATTTAATGTTTTGTTTCTTACTTTAATGCAGTGATGTTTGATGTTGGCTGTGTATATGTGATGTTCCCACTAAATCAAAACCATTTGTACAATGACTGAGTCAAAATTTTAAAATGTAGGAATCTTGTTTTTTTTCCCCGCTCGCATTAGATTTGGAGTCTGCGGAGGATGTCATCCATAAAATTTACTTGCTGTGGCCTAAGTCCCAATTTACTCAGTGTTGGCAAGAACGTTTGGCCCTTTTAGCCATAATTCACAATTTGTTTGTAAATAATTCTGAGTGAAATTTCTAATAAACAGATTTGTATTTATATAGAGCTTTTTCAAACAAAAGTCTCCCTTTTTGAATCTTAATGTTAACTGTTATATCCTGTAACAATAATCATCATAAATAAAACCCATTAAAATATGACACAATGATGCCACCACACATTTCTCTGAATTCTACATTAACTAAGGCATGCTATATTTTCCCCAAAAAATCTCAAAACAACGGTACACAAATTATAACTTTGTAGTAAAGTTGAAAGTGTGAGGGATAACCAGTAGAACTTATAAGTTGCACTGCACTGCCCCCCTCCCCCTTCTTCTTATACTAGTAGTAAGATACTGTACTAATTCACTTTATGTTCACGGTAGCAAAAGTTCACGGTCTGAGAAAACGGACATGTTCAAGGAACTATATATTCACGGTGCACAGGTGTGCAGGAATCATTTTTTTAGGTGTAATGATAAGTTCAAGGTACAGAAGTGACAGTGAAAACAGTGAACATAACAGTACAGTGAAAAAGTCAGGAATTACAGTAGTTCTAGAAGACTGAAGAGTGCAGTTAACAGTAGCAGCTGTCATGTTCTCACAAGAAAAAATTATGTTTTAAAATGTCACCAACATACGCACATCGCCGTAAAATTTATATCATAATATAAATGTTACACGAAAAAATTATGTTACCTGAGCCAAGGGTCATGCAGTCCTTTCGCGTGTAACCTTCTCTGCACGTCTTCTAGCGGCGTCCCTTCGATCTTGTACACCCGCCAGTCTGGTATCTTGAGCTCCTTAGGAGGACCATGGCCGTCTCCACCCATCTTGGCAATTCCAACACCAGCCTTTTCAGGCAAAAACTATTTTTCTTCAAGGTGCTTTTTTCACGACCTTCCAAACCAAGATGGCGGTGCCCTGACAAAATCTCGTTCCCAAAGCTGGGAACGAGATTGAGAAAATTTTTAAATTTTCCCCCAAAAAATAAAAAATTAAGAAATTCATACCACTGTGATGTGTATTACACACCTTTCTGTGAACATCTATCCCTAAATGTGCCATTTATGGACAAAAAAAATGAAAAGTGTAAGACCGCAGGTGACCTATAACCCCTATGAGCTCAACCCGGAAGTAAGTGTCAGACAAAAGAAAAGGGGAGTTCCCCTTACTCAAGTTTCGCTTTGAGTGCGCAACTAACATTGGGGATTTCCAACAGTCTATAGAAACTGCGCAAACTTTGGTTATGGAGGGTGTGGTAAGTAAATTCCCCTTTCTAATAGTTCCTCGTCTCATACGCTTTCACATTCGTACACAGTTGAAGACTGCACTAGGATCATGGGACTATGATTCTCTTAGTCTTAGCATCTTGCGACTACATATCCACCAAACTTAGTTATAAATTTCAGGAGACGGGGAAATATGAAAGGTAATCATTTTCTACGTAGTTTTGGCAATTTTTGTATTATTGTTGTGGTCAAAGCAAGACTGTTATATGTAAATTTTTCAAACTCATTTTCCTCTACATATGTTTACATACAATAGTTCCTGCTATTAACTTGCTAAAAGTTATTTTTGTGAAGATTCTGCTAACTACTATCTGAGTGCAGGAGCTATAATGATACTTAAACAGTGGAGAGAATCAAAGATTATGGTTTCATGCTTTCAGTTTCATATACTAGGGACAGCATATAAATTTCATTAAACTTCCATAAACAAGTTAAAAACTTCCTGACACAGCTTTTGCCACCATGTGTTTAAAGCAACAAGTTGTTTTTACTGATTTTTAGGTTTGATCCTGCAAAAGAATTCGACAGAATCCAAGATGGCTGCATTACCGAGCTACGGTTTGGCGAATGATGCAATTGACCCGAACTTCAACTTCAGAAGAGCCCTGAAGGACATTGACGATGACCTTACATCATCCGACATTGCCTCCTTAAAGTTCCTATGCAGAGATTTTATCCCTGCCTTCAAGCTTGAGAACGCCAAAGGATCCCTGGATGTGTTCAGACAACTTGAGAATAAGGGGCTGCTTGGCTCCAACAACTTGATGTTCTTAACCGAGCTGCTGTACAGGATACAGAGAGCAGATCTTCTAAGGAAGCTGGCCTGGCACCCAGACCAGGTGTCACGGGAGATAGAACGTGGCAGGGCACAGTTGAATCCATTCAGGTAAGCACAAGGAGAAAAAGAATCAAACCATCTGAAAGCTGGTTTCACAATTAAGTTGTGTGTAAGGCCACAGCAAGTAATTTTTATGGATGACATCAGCGCGCGCATTAATTTTTACCTGATTTTGAAAAAAAAAGAAATTTTGTTGCCTTCTGACAGTGGTCAACATGCCAAAAATGGGCAATGATATCTGTTGCCATGCTGGAAGGTGGATGGCAGATAACTATGAAGAGAGGAAACAAGAAAAGGCTTGATTTAATGTTTTGTTTCTTACTTGATGCAGTGATATGTGATGTTGGCTGTGTATACCGGTATGTGATGTTCTCACTGAATCAAAACCATTTGTACAAATGATTGAGTCAAATTTTTAAAATGTAGCAACCTTGTTTTTTTGGGCCCACCTTGTTTTTTTTTCGCCTGCTCGCATTAGATTTGGAGTCTGTGGAGGATGTCATCCATAAAATTTACTTGCTGTGGCCAAAGAATGTAATTTTTGTATACTAAAAATAAGAAGAAATCTTCGAACTGCATTGGTCCTTTGCTGTCAGAGACATCTGCTACATTTGCTTACATCAAAACAAACAAGGGGGCCCACCACATATGCAAGACCATGTACATGAGTAAATCTACTGAAAATAGTTTCATCAGGTTGGTAAGGGTGTAGGATAGAGGGGACCATTCTCGCCCCAAAATCGTCACCTACATTGGCTACATCTGTATCTGTATCTGTATAGCCGGTATAACCGCCTTTCGGCGTAACAAACCAGCTAGCGGCTACATATAGTGGCGAGAAGCAGAACTCCAGTCAAAATCTCTTGAGGAAGGTTTCTGATAGACACGGAAACGTAAGCCAGGTAGAACAAGTTTGGTGGTGTAAAACAATACTTTGGTGGTGTAAAACAATACCCCTATATCCTATGAATAAACCTATCTCACATGTTTATAATAATGTTACAGAGTGATGTTGTTGGAAGTGTCAGAGGAACTGACCAGTCGTGACTTTGATGACATGAAGTTTATGGCTGCAGCCTACATCTCAAGAAACAAGCTGGAATCGGTAAATATCTATCATTACTTACAATTGTACATTTTCTTGTAGGTATTATTTCTTAGTTCTCTATTTTTTCTGAAAATTAGGCTGTACCAATTTAATTTGTTGCTTCACGGATTCACCCGCTTCATTCTTTTCTGACTTGCAAAAAAAACAACATTTAAGACTCTGAATCAACTCCAAAATGCTCATTGTTACAGTTTTTCCATCTATCAATGCAGTGGTTTGATTAAAATTCATTGTTTGAATTACAAACCAGCCTGGTATGTTGACTTCATGGCTCCTATCATAGCATTTGGGTCTATTATATTAAAAAAGACACCTATAGGTTATTTTTTTATACATGTATGCCCTGTCGTTTTATTTTTTTTCTCAGAAAAAATCTAAGAACCAACAAATCAAATTGGTGTGGCCTTATTGACAAAGTAAAATAAAGATTCTATCTTTGTACTATCTGTATTAGGCCACATCAATTTAATTTCTTGGTTAACGGATGCGCCCGCTTCATTTTTTTCTGATTTGCAAAAAAAAAAAAAATTTAATCCAGAATCAACTGCAAAATGCTCATATTTTGCTCTGAACAGTTGAAAACAGTTCTTTTCTTCCTAGTTGTTACAGTTATTCCATCTTTCAATGCAGTGGTATCATTAAAAGTTCTAAATTAAATTTTGAACCAGCCTGGTGTGTTGACTCCATGGCTTTGGGGCCATAATAGGATGCCTAGGCCTGTTTTTATTTTAATTTTATTTTTTTGCCCACCCGCTCCATTATTTTTCTAGAAAAATCCGTTAACCAAGAAATCAAATTGGTGTGGTATTTTGTGACATGCCTTTCTGCTTCCTTTATATTTGTATCTATCTAAAAATTTCAGGTAGATAATTTCCTGTCCCTGGCCATCGCCCTGGAACAAGGCATGAAACTGACCAGTGACAACGTCCATGTGTTACATGAACTCCTACAGACACAGGAGAGACCAGACCTCAAGGACATCATCCAGAACTATGAGGGTAATATATAATATCATTTATGATTCAAAAACCTTAGTAAATTCAAATTGTATTTTGTTCATCAACTACACATAATACTAATACACATGTACTGGTAGTGCTGACAACAGCACAAAGCTTCTTGCTGTTTAAAATATCTCATTTAAGAATTATTAATTCATGAAGTTGTTGATGGCTGCACATGCACTTATTGTGATAGTTGGAGCCCTTTACAAAGTTATGTATTTACTATAATTTGTGTTTTACATATACATGTGACACCATGCATGTAAATCACTCACTCACTGTCTCCCATTATGTAAATGTAAATAGTACTTGATAAAATAACTTTCAGAAATGTCCTAATTAAATCAGTTTGCTTCAATACCATCCATACCATTTATCCATCATGTTTTGATAAGAAAATAAAAATGATAAATGCTTTAAATGGCAGCAAACAAGATTTTCAGTTTCAGAAGTTGAAATATTAGAACCATTCACAGTTCTTGAGATTTTCTTACCTAATATGTTGACATCTTTATGTACAACAGCCAGCATATCATCCAGGGGTAGGAATTCGAAGGGCTCCCCTGATGATGGCTTTCCCCCACCACCGATGGACAAGACACCCCAGCATGGACCACCGGTTCCAGAACCATTTCAGCCACCACAGCTGAGGCCAGACAACCAGGAAGCTAACCTAGTAGCCATGACACAAAACATGATGGGGCCTGCACAACAAGGTATGGTTTAGTTTGCTCCTCCCTTTTGTTTCCTACGAATATAAATGAAAAAGGGTCAGAAAATGGATCCTTGTGGTACACCACAGCAGACTCCTCACAACCAGGAAGCTAACCTGGTGGCCATGACACATAATATGATGGGTCCTGCACAAGGTATGATTTAGTTTGCTCCTTTCCCTTGAACATAAATAAGAGAGGGGCAGAGAATGGATCCTTGTGGTACACCACAGCAGACTCCACACAACCAGGAAGCTAATAATAATAACCTGGTGGTTATGACACAGAACATGATGGGGCCTGCACAACAAGGTATGGTTTAGTTTGCCCCTTCTTTCTGTTTCCTATGAACATAAATTAAAAGGGGCAGAGAATGGATCCTTGTGGTACACCACAGCAGAATCCACACAACCAGGAAGCTAACCTGGTGGCTATGACACAGAACATGATGTGGCCTGCACAACAAGGTATGGTTTAGTTTGCTCCTTCCTTCTGTTTCCTTTGAACATAAATAAAAAGGGGGCAGAGAATGGATCCTTGTGGTACACCACAGCAGACTCCACACAACCAGGAAGCTAACCTGGTAGCTCTGACACAGAACATGATGGGGCCTGCACAACAAGGTATGGTTTAGTTTGCTCCTCACATTTGTTTCCTATGAGCATGAGTAAAAAAAGGGGCAGAGAATGGATCCTTGTGGTACACCACAGCAAACTCCACACAACCAGGAAGCTAACCTGGTGGCTATGACACAGAACATGATGGGGCCTGCACAACACCCTCTGTTTCCTATGGACAAAAATAAAAGGGGCCAAGAATGGATCCCTGTGGTACACCACATTAAGTTTTTGAGAGGAATGTTTTAATGTTACTATAGTGTACTTGCTTTTAAAAAATGTTTTAAAAGGTTTTGCTAAAACGTATGACATTTGATAATCTTAAGCTTTGTATTCTAACAAAAAAGTGATTTCTGTTAGTGTTGAAAATATTTAAAAGTTCCATCACTTTATTTGTATTCAGGATACCAACAGATGATGCAGCAGGCTGGCAGAGTGCCTGGCAGTCAGGTCCAGCAGACAGCCAGAGTGGCAGGGCAGCAGCCACCAGAACAACCACAAGAACCGCCTGCTGGGCTGGGCCCTGCACCGGCTGATCTCCAGGCTACCATACAGCGAGAACTGGAACTGAGGCTACAAGAGGAGAGAGCACGTCAGCGGGAAGAGATGCCGTGTTACAGGATGGACCGCAACCCTCGCGGTCTGGCTGTCATCGTCAACAACCTACAGTTCTTTCACGACCCCCGTCTGCCGAACAGCCGACAGAGGCTGGAAAATCGGGAGGGAACAAATGTGGACAGAGGTATGAAAGATTGTGTGTAGAGACGTGCTAGTTTTGAGATCGCTTTTCTCTCCAGATCAACAAAACACATCCAATGACACTTTGCAGAAGGTTCCTAAAGTTCCTAACATATTTCTGTTGAGACATGAAAAATGTTTAAGTGCAACAATAAGTCATGATGTAAAGTACTGTTACTGTAGTGGTAAGTGAAATAAAAAAGAACATTTATTTCATCTTTAATATCATAATTATGGTTTCTTTCAGATAATTTGATCTTCATCTTCAACAAACTGGGGTTTGAGGTTGAGACGCGAGAGAACATCACACACAATCAACTCATTGACCTCTTCAACCAAGTACGGTACGCAGACCACTCCAACTTCGACTGCTTCGCTGCGTGCATCCTGTCACACGGCAGTCAGGGCCAGGTGTACGGCTCTGACAGTGTTCCAGTCAGTATCCGTGACTTGGCCGAAGAAATCAAGTCTACCAAGTGTCCATCCCTCGGTGGAAAACCAAAACTGTTCTTCATCCAGGCTTGTCAGGGAAGGGACGAACAGCCTGGCATTAGCGACATCAGGGTTGATGCTGGTCAAGCCCCAGGTCTTGAAGGGTTCCAAGAAACCATCCCTAATGAAGCCGACTTTCTGCTGAGTTACTCCACAATTCCAGGTTACGTTTCCTACCGTAGTAAAACCCAGGGCTCGTGGTTCATCACCAAACTTGTAGAAACGCTTGACAACATGGGGGACAGGCACGACCTTCTGAGTATCCTCATCAAGGTCAATGAAGAAGTGGGGAAGGCCATCGCTAGGAAAGGGGGAGGGGAGTTTAAGCAAAGCCCGGCACCGGTAGCCACTTTGAGGAAAAAGATTTTCTTTTCTTTCCTCCGTGACACCAGAAAACCACAGGTTGTTCCACGTGCCTCAACGGTAAATACTGCTGTGTAAGTGAAAACTGGCTTAAAGCCATACCAATTTAATTTGTTGGTTCTCAGACTTTTTCAGAAAAAAAATGAAGCAGCAGGGTGAAAAAAAATTGAAACAGGCCTAAGCATTCTATTATAGCCTCAAATGCTACAATGGGAGCCATGAAGTCAACACAAAAGCCAGGGTTAATATTTGAACAATGAATTTTGATCTTTCAATTAAACTACACTGTACTGCATTGATAGATGGAAAACCTGTAACAACTAGGAAGAAAAGGACTTCCCTCAACTGTTGGGGGGCAAAATATGAGCATATTTGAGTTGATTCAGAACCAGAATCTTTTTTTGTTGTTGTTGTTTGTTTGAAGATATGTTGTTTGCGGGGCACGTCTGGGCTAAACTGTGGCCACATGATTTACGGAGGCTGACACTTGATGATGCTCATATCAATGGCAATGTTTTCTTCATTTTGCTGTGCAAATGTTTGACTATTGAAGATTTCAGGTGGCTTAGAACAAAACTGGACATGCCTTTGTTGGTAAATCCAGTTCCAAACCTTCAGTTTTTTTTTGGGGGGGGGGGACTTGAACCCAAACATTTTTACAAGTCTGGAACTAGTTCCAGTGAACCAGTATAGAACTAATTCTGGGCAATGTATGGCATTATGGGTAGCTAGGGGTGCAAACAATTATCATAATAATTGTCATATTTTACACAAACATGAACCACAACTCAATGTACACACCAAACATTTATTGCTACCATGCATGCCCCGGTATGATTGTACATACAAACATTTAATGTAAGAATAATTAGTTATTATGACATTTTCCAAATTTGCATAGATTTCTAGAAAATCACATATTCTGTAAAAGATGATGCATAATGTTAGTTTGAATATCATGCTGTGCTTATTTGTAAATATTCGTAGTTGTGAGAGTTTTCAAAAAGACAAATGCAAGAAATACACAGCTCATATCTGGACAAATGGCTTACAATCATGGTACTGACTTTGACCAATCACAGCCTCACATGAATGTGAGTATATCAAAAATGTATCCTGACAGCTGATTGGCTAAAAGAAAACCAGACAGCCAATGATATCTGACAACACATGCACATGGAATACCTACTTAAAGGAAAATCCACAACTCTATATATTGAATAGGTGTGAATTGAGTGCATAGACTTCACCATTTTTTGGCGATGCCTTAGGGGCAGAGCCTTTTAAAAATTTCCACAAGCTCAATGACATATACTTGACTTTGAATTTACCAAACACAGCATCAAATCATAGATGTCATTGCATATGACACATAACTTCAAATATCTGCACTCTACTTGCAATTATACTAACATGGACAATTGCCACTATTATTTTACTGACGTTTACATTTGTGTAAATGTACATTACTATGGCACGTACATCTATTGTTTTTTTTTTCGCAAAAGTCCCATTTACATCATTTATCCAATGATTAAAATGTACAAACTGTATGTAATTATTGATGTGTTTAAACAATAATACTAGTTTAATTTGCTACATGGTAACAACCAATAGCCAGAAAAAAATGGTGGAAAAAATTGCAAAGCCAATACAGAAATAGTATATAATAATTTTTTGTGCTAAGCGAAAATTCTATTATTGATAGTATCTTACAATCTGGCATTGGAATGTTTTTGCTTCTGAATATTTCGGCAAACTAGTATGTTATTTTATAAGTGAATGTATTAGTTTGGAAAAAGTTCTAACATAAGGCCACACCAATTTAATTTGTTGGTTCTTGGATTCGCCTCTTCATTTTTTCCTGATTTGTAAAAAAAAAAAAAATTTCAGAATCAACTGCAAAATGCTCATATTTTGCCCTGAACAGTTGAAAACAGTCCTTTTCTTCCTAGTCGTTACGGTTATTCCATCTTTCAATGCAGTGGTATCATTAAAAGTTCAAAATTCATTGTTTAAATTTTGAACCAGCCTTTTGTGTTGACTTCATACCTCCTATCGTAGCATTTGGGGCTATAATAGAATGCCTAGATCGGTTTTTTTATTTTT